GGCCTCAGCCTTCTCATCCATGGAATGGGTGGGGGGGTCTGACTCTAATTGCCACTTGACTTTTGCCCCTCAGTACTAAGACTTTCTACTTATCCTTGACTGTCTTACTCTTTGTCTTCCCTCTCTATCTGGCATTAGTGGGGACAGTTGCATCTATGAGTTCAGCCCCTTGATGATCTATCGGGAAAATGGGACCCTGATGAAATACGGTGAGGCCTCAGGGGAAGGGCTGCCGTGTGGAACGGGGAGGTGATGGGTGGGCGGCCTAAGGGAGGGGACGGGGTCTTTGGGCAGAGAGAACATGGGAGAGGCCCACTTCTTATAGCTCTATAGGCCCAGGGCCTGCACGTGAAATAATCAGTAAGAGCTGCCAACATTTCTGGGCTCTTTCTATGCACCAGGGGCTGTTCGAAGTGCGTTACATGAATCGGTCCACTTGATATTCATGAACAGCCCTACAAGGACAGTACATTGATCAGATGAGGAGATGGAGAAACAGAGGTGTCAGAGAGCTTCTCTGAGATCACGCTGCTTACCATGAGAACTGGGTTCAACCCCCAGGTCAGCTCCAGTCCTGTCCCCCTTTCAGCCACTCTCTGTCCTCTGGGAAGTAACGGTGGCAGCCTGTTTACTGGGCAGGCAGTCCCTTCACCCACGTCTCTACCATCTCTGCAGTGAGGGCACATAGTAGGAACACGTAAGTGCCAATGGAATTGAACCACCACCACCAAGGAGCCCTGAGGCTCCTCTCTGAACCTCATTTTCCTCATCTGTAAAATGGGCAGAGAGGCCCTGGCAGCCACCGTTCACATGAGGCCCCTCTGATTCCACATATGTAGGTTAGTGTTCAGTTTCGGGCCCGGTGCGTGGTCAGAGCAGGGACGTGTGGCCTCACCGATTGGCTGTGCAGCCCTGGGCACAACCAGGTTTCCTCGCCTGTGAGGATGGGACCATTGTGCTGTCCCCATGGTCTCACCCAGAGGCTTTCTCTTCCAGAGAATGGCACAAGAAACTATGGCCACCTGATGCTCCCCAAGGACCGCAGCACCTTCATGTTTGCTTTTTTCCCAGAAGACCCACAGAAAATTGGGCTGTCCTTCTATGGTGAGCATTGCCCAAACTCCCACCCACGCTTCCTCCAGGATCACCCACTCCTGGTGCTGGGGCCTCAGACCCCTAGCTGTCCCTGGCCTGTCACCAGACCCCCCCGACATCCTCACCAGTCTCTTCGCTCCCTCCTGCAGCTGACAAGCCAGAGGTGACCCCAGAACAAATGGAGCAGTTCTATGAGGACCTCAGGTGCAGAGGCATTAAAAAGTCGGAGGTTCTGTACACTGATGAGAAAAAGGTGAGTGCAAGGGAGACTGGGCGCTGCTCACGTGAGGGTGCTCCTGCCTTGGGCAGCCCCAGAGGTCCAGAGAGGGAAAGCTGCCAGCCAGGGCTGCACAGCGAGGTAGGAGCTCCTGCTTTTAAGTGTGCACCTCACTACAGAGCAGCTGAGCTTCAGAGAGGCCCATGGCGGGAGGGGTGGGTGAGAGCCCAGGCAGGACATCTCTGGGAAATCAGGGAGGACTCATGAACAGGTGGAGAGGATTAAGAAGGCTAACAGGTGAGGCACAGCTTGGCCAAGGTGTGGTGGTGGGGCTTGAGAAAGAGACACACATGGGGAACGAATAGTCACAACGGCCTGCCACAGCCCAGGCTTCTCGACCACACAATGGGGGGCAGGCAGTGTGGTTCCCAGGGCTGTCCGAACTGCATGCAGCAAGTGCAGGATCTCCACCATCCCAATTTTTGCTTTAACTGAGAATTACCTGAGAAACGATCTTACTACTTCCCTTTAAACCTGTGCCCAGTGAAAGGCTTTACTCGATCTTGTTATACACAACCATATGTGACATCACAGAGCTGATGAGCTGGTTACACTTTTTTGGATATACACGGCATACTTTCATCGTTATTCAGATAAAAATGTTCCCATCTGCTTGCCACCTGAGGTCATCTCCTGGGACCACGAGTGGCACAGATTGTCCCCTTGCTCTTGGGAACCCTGGGAAAGGGCTTGTGAACATAGGCACTGGAGTCGGTTCCCTGGTCTACGGCCTGTCACCCCATCTATGGGCTGGGGAACCTCGGACAGGCCACATGGCCACTAGGAGCCTCAGTTACATCAGCTGCAAAATGGTGGTGAGAAATTCAGATCAACATAAGGGCTGAACCAGGTCTTAAGTGCTCTGTAAATTCCAGCTATTCTTAAGGATTGGAGTCCCCATTCTAGAGGTGAATAAACTGAGGCTCACCGAGGAAAATGACTTGCCTAAGGTCACCCAGCTTCAAGTGGCAGAGACCAGGCTGGCGCCATAGTCCAGAATGGACCCCAGCCTCCCCCCAGGAGCCCTGCGCCTTCCCCCATCGTGTTGTTTTCTTCTTTTCCCACTGCCTGGTAGGATCTGTGTAAGCCGCTGGAGAAACAGCACGAGGAGGAAAAGAAGAAGGAAAGCGAGAAGACGGAGAAAGACATAGCTTTGAGTTAGGACCTCAGGGACTTTGGGGGTCTGTCCTGAGCCCCCCACCCACCCTTTGTACCTTAGTTCTTTCTCTCTGTGGCATCAATAAAGATTCTGTATTTGTAATAAGTAGATTGTCATATATGCTCATTCATTCAGTCTCTCATTCATTCATGTTGAGGCCAGCCACGGGTTAAGTCCTGGTTGCCCACTAGGTTAGACCCTGACGGCCCCTGGTTGGAAAAGCCCCTGCTGTAATTCCCAGCATGCATATCAGGATGGACAATATATGGCGTGGGAGACCAGCACGAGAAGGATCCTTCTGCAGTGGGGACATGTGGGAAGGTCCCCTGGAAGGGGCATCCGACCCGGCGAGGAAGATTAGAAGCTTGATAACACCTGCTGTTCCTGCCACAAGCCAAGGACCTGAGAGGGCACATTTGAGGAACATCAAGGCAGAGGACCCAAAGGAGGGCTCAGGTGGATAAGGGGCAGTGAGGACTCAGGCATGTGTTGCCAGGCATGAAGGACCCCACTGCAGACCTTGTCTGGCCATCTGGAGAGGCGAGCTGGGAGGGGCCTGGTTGGAGGCGGGAAGACTGGTTTGGATGCCGCTGAACCTGATTAAGAGGTGGGGGCCGGGGCCAGAGCAAAGGCAGAACAGGGGAGACCGAGGGACCTAGGTCAGAGGGGCTGAGTGTCTCCATGAGTGTCTTCATGGCAGCCTCTTGGCCCCCAACACGCGTGAGGAGGATACAACACCTAGGAGCCAAGTTTGCCTCTTGTAAATGTGTGTTGAGCCCTGGAGATGGGGCCGTATTAGAGGCAGACCCACACAGTGAAATAGAAAACTGAGCCCCTGAGGCCAGGAGTCCAGCAGGAAAAACCCGGCCTTCTTCCAGGCCCGAGGGCTTCATTATGTATGGGCATGTGAGGGGAGGAGCACCGCTCAGGGTGCAGAGACACCAGGACTGAGCTGTTTGGAAAATTCATGAGCGACCTAAACCACCTACAGCGACAGGTGGATAACAGGCCTGTGACCCCGCAGCCTGATGCCAGCCCCGAGGCCCACACACTGACACCCTCCAAACAGCCAGGCTCCAGGGACCCACGTCTCCAGCTTCCCTTGCTCAAAGCTGGAGCCACTGCCCTGGGCCCCCACTTTGGTCTCCCCCTATCCCTCCCGAGGTCCATGGGACTGCCTCTTGGCACCCAGACAAGTGTGAACCCAGAGACTCAGAACCTACAAGGCATCTCTCCATGTGTCACTTTCTACATCACATTTTCAACTCTACTGAGGAGCAGCTGAAAAACTGAAACCAAAATGGGCCCTGGTGATGGGGCAAAGCTAGGGAGGTGAGAGAGGTGGGGAAGGGTGGCTGACGGGTTAAAGGGACGTTGAGAATTCTCCGTTTATTCCTGAGCCACAGCCTTTATTGTAAGAATGCGATGTAGGTGTGCTGTCTCCTGGGGAAACCTGGCCCTTCTCCCCGGAAAGATTAGTACTTTTAATATTGAACTGTTCCTTCAAGAACCGGCCCATCTCCCAGAGGGACCTGCTGGTTACCTAAGTCACACGAAGCCCTTGGTGTGTGGTCAGTGTTGTCTAAAACATATTTAAGCCTAGCCCCCAAAGTGGGGCTTTGGGATCTCACCCGAGGTGAGGACGCTTCGCTCGGAGCTTTCCCAGCCGGACCCGGACGCTGTCCCCAGGATTCCCCAGCGTCCACGTTCGGGGGTTGGCGATTTCCCATCGGGTGATGTGTGCTCTCGATTCTTGCCTTTTCTCTTTGCTCTCGCTTAATAAAGTGCTTAACTATGCACCTATGATTGGGGCTTTTATTGTCTGCGAACCTGAACTTCCAAATTAAGTGGCCATGATCTCATGCGTGCCCTTTAACTGCACACGGGCAAGAAAAAACCACGGGAACAGGTGGGGGTCGGTGGGAATTGTGGAAGTTTAGGAAGAGAAAATCAGTAACGACGACTAGAAACTTGGGAGTCAGACCCCCATGAATCTGGGCAGGGACCCACAGGAACCCCAGTTTCATCAGTGAAGTGGGGGACATGCTGGGAACCTGAAAGGCTGGTTTGTGTAGTGTGGAGTCCGCCACACTGAGCACTTAGCTCAAGGATCAGCATCCACTAGGGGCTCAGCAGAGAACAGTGGCCGCTGCCGTTCGCTGCTAAAAGGAGCATTGGGGAGAGAGTCTGGTCTTGTGTTTTGCAGCTACCAGGCTTCTGTGTCTCTGGCCTCAACAAGGCCTTGGCTAAATGGCCTCCTCCCCGTGCAGGTCCCTCCAGCTGAGAGGTTCATGGTTCCGAGACAGGCAGAGGGGACAAGGCTGAGACACAGAGGCCACCAGGAGGCAGAAGGAGTCTGGGAATGTGCGCCCGACAGGTCCCCCGGGGAAGGCTCTGCATCCACCTCCCACCCCAGCAAACTGACTTCAGAAACCACCAGTCAATGAGACACAGCAGAGACACAGGGAGTTTTAGGAATGTTTCGGGTTTTTTTTTTTTTGGCTTTTTCTTTTTTTAAAAGATCAATATTCATTCTTCTTCACTTGCCCTTATAACGAAAATAGAACTTTTAAATGCCTCAAATATACAAATATCACTGGTGCACACACATTCCAGAAAAGCTGAGGTACGTGCTGCTACGGGGTTGGGGAGCAGACGATCGCCTGGCCCTCGGCCACAGGGAACCTCGGGAGGGGGCAGGGGTCTGGAGATGAGGTACTGACAGGGCCCCCTGCGGATAGCCATGCTGGGGCGTCTCCATCCCAGCAGGCCCACAGGAAAGGCGGACCCAACCACAGGGAAGCTGGGAGTGAGTCAGCCTGGGGGCCGGCATCCTAAGATATCCCAATGGACCCAAAGTGTCCCACCATCAGCCACCAGGGGAAAGGTCCCCAGTCACATCTTTCCAGAGATGCCTACTCCCAAGTATGGGTCACAGGCAGGTGGACAGGTTTGTGCCAGAGACCCTAGCCCCAAACCTTCTTCTAGGCGTCCTAAGGAGGATCCACGCCCAAGAAAACTCCTCACTTAAAAGCTATCTGTCCTTCCACATATAAAACACATATTATTAGCTGGAGGTGGTCAAGTGCAAGAGACTTTCCGAGACTGCATCTGGACAGAAGGTGGCCTTGGTCCCAGCACTTGCTCCTGGGGCCGGTGCCCTGGGAAGTTACTTCTCTTGATGACCAGGGCCCTTCCATTTGAAAACACTGAGACGGAGCAGGCAGGGCCCGTGCTGGAGGGAGAACTCCTCATGAGGGGTCTGCAGGGGAGACAGCAACAGGCTGGCTGCCTGCCCACCCGTCCGCCGTCTGTCTCCGAGCCCCGAGGGCCATCAGAAGAGGCAGGAGCCCCGCAGGCTGTGGGCCTGGCGCAGGTCGGCCGACAGGGAGCGGCTCATGTGCTTGGCGGTGGAGCGGACGCGCTCGGCCGCCTGGACGGCTCGGCTCAGGGCCTTGTTGAGCTCCTCCAGGTCCTCCAGATCCAGCGGGATGGAGTGCCGGTGTCCTCTGGCTGGCCGAGAGGAGGCTGCGGGGGGCCACTCAGCAGCTAGTCGGGCTGAGGGGGCTGAGGTAGGTCCTCCTGGAGGCGCATAGAACCTGAGGAGACAGGGAAGTGCGTTGTTAACCCCAGAGAGGATTGGGTGCAGCTGAGGAGCGCCAGGCTTGGCACCGACGCCGCTCTGAGCCCCAGGGAGGCCTCTGGCTGTGTTCTCTGGGTCTCAGCGTCTTCACCCCTATGAGAACAATGAACACCTACTTCGAGGAATGCCTTACAAGGACGAAGGAAGGTAAATGGAGTGCCTGACCCAGAACAGGAGCTCAAAAGTGGTTGGTTCAATCTGCCCATTCATTTCACAAATACATCTTGACCAAGTGCTCTGCAGCTAGGCTCTGGGGTTACCGTGGTAAATGAACAACACCGACCCTGTCTCTTTGGGGCTTCGAGTCTGAGAGCCAGGTGTGGGGGATACCAGGGTCACCTGGGGCTCTGCAGCAAACCCCGTTGCTCTTCAGAGAGGTAACATAGGGGAGTCCCATCGCCAGTGCAGAAGAATGCTGGAGAAACGAAATAGACATCTCGCCAAAGATATACAGATGGCCAGCAAGCACCTGGGAAGATGCCCGGCACCGTTAGCCCTCAGGGAGATGCAAATCAAAACCACACAAGACGCCACTACATGCATTTCACATCCGTGGGGATGGCTAAAGTCACAAAGGCGGTAATGAGCGTTGGCGAGGATGTGCAGGGAGTGGAACGCACATACTCTGCTGTGAAACGACGCAGGCCCTTTGGAAACTGCCCGGCAGCTCCCCAGACAGTAACACAGGTGCCTAGCCCAGAGCCGGGGTCCTCACCCTCAGAACCCATGGGCCAGGCTCTGAGGGCGGTGCCTTACCAGCACTATCTCATTTACTGGGTCAGTTCTATTATGCTCGCCTCCCCATTGAGCAACGTGATGCTCAGAGCAGCGAGGCGATGCAGCAGGCAGCCCCAAATCTCGGTGAAACCCCTGCCCAGGCTGCTTCACCTTCTAAGGGCTCCATTTCCTCACCTAAGACCAACGGCAGAGTAGATCCAACAGGAAAATTCAGGTGGAAACCTCTGTCAGCTGCCTGGCCACGTTAAGTGTTCTGTAAGTGTCAGCGACAGAGGCCCAGGGTCAGAGAGCTGGGAAGGGTCAGTGCTGAATTCACGCTCAGAGCTAATTAGCACCTAGTCGATGCTGATACAGGTCACCTGAACCTAACAACAATAACCAAGTTATTCCACTCTTTGGGAACTATCTGATGTAATCACTGGGTCCCCACATACCCCTACTTTCTGATAATTTGATGACCAGGTTGGCTGAGAGTTACCCCAAACTTCCCCAAGACAGAAGCTGCAAAAATAAAACCTGACGGACCCTCCTGGCAAGAAAGCCTCTGGTGCAGGGACTATAAGGCAGCAGACCACCAGGTGGCAGCACAGGCCCAGGCAGCTTTCAAAGGGTGCTCAGGCTGCAGCCTCTGAGGACACCGGCTTGCAGCGGGAGAAATCTCAGGGCATCCTCAGCCCAGGTTCCAGCAGCATTCCAGAAGCACGGTGGTTGCTGGCCACCCTGTGTGGTGTGGACTGTCCACCCATTAGTTCATTTAACCCTCACGACAACCCCTTTCACACAGGAATGAGGTAACCTGCCCAAGATTGCGTGGCTGCCGCTGGCCAGGTCTGTGGGGGCACCAAAGCCCAGGGCCTCTCTCCTCGCCCATGGCCCATCCCAGCCTGCGGACAAGAACCTGGTTAGTTCTGTCCACAGGTCTGAGCTTGCAAGGGTACGGAATGGCTGCAGAAACAGAGGCCCCGTGGTTACTGTGGGCACTCGGAGTTTATCCCGGGCCAGCAAATTCCAGGTGAAACCTTCCCTGCCCAATGAGTTGGCGCACACACAGGTGTCCCCACCACCTCTGCCGGAGGCCTGAGCACGCAGTGGGGCACGCACAGTGCACTCGGGGTCTGCTGCGAGACTCCATGGGGGTTGGCCTCGCTCTGCACATGACGCACGAGGGGGAAGACAAGGGGGCACACGAAACCTGGGTTCTCAGCTGCCTGAGACAGGCTCGAATGCCGACTACGAAGCACTTCACGCGGAGAGGCTGGGAGCGTCGGAACGGAAGGTTCTTACACAGTGGCTGGTGGGTAAGGCATGACGGGAACCGAGGAGATGTAGGCAAAAGCAGGAGGGGCTGGTACGGGAGGTGCTGCAGCCAGGTACCACAGTCCAGGGGGCGGCTGGGGCGGTGAGCCCGCCCGTCGGCTCCTCGGCTTGGGGTTGGAAGTTGAAGGTGCACTCCTCCTTGGGGTGGACTTTTCTGCCCCTGTCACGGAAGGACACCAGAGAGACAGTCTGACCACTCGGGAAGATCAGGCGGAAAAGAGAGGGTCCACCCAGGCCCTGCCCTGTTAGAGCCAGACACTGGGCTGGCCATGCTGGGAGTGCCCGGATTTGGGGCACAAACCCTCTGCCCGGTGTGCTCCAGCCCTGGCTGCTAGGAGCAGCCGCCCTGCTAACCCGACCCAGGCCCCAACCCCCATCAAGAAGAGCTGAGGGAAGGGACTGAGCATCTGCCCCTACCAGAGGTGGCTGCGTCTGGGCTTTCCCCCTCGGGGGCGGACCCAAATCCACCACACAGGGGACATCGCAGGGCCTCAGTGGGAGACGGTCCCCGTGGGTCCTTGGTGACAGCACCTGGAAGACGAGAAAGGTGTCAGGAGAGGATTATGTCTGAATCATCAAGCCTGGAGTCTCCCAAGCACACTCCTGAAGCACTGAGCTTCCCTCAGGAACCAGGCAGAGAAGACAAATTACCTGCCTCTGGGTGACAGCAATACCGATGGCAAATGTGACAGTGAGAGTCCATATTTTATGAGCCAGGCCCTTCGGGCCTTATTTTATCAAATCCCACAAGCCACCTGCTAGCTACTACCATCACTCCCCCACTTCACTGGAGGGAAAGCTGAGGCCCCGAGAGGTTGCCAAGGTCACGGTGCTCCTCTGTCTGATGCCGAGCCCAGTGAGATAGGCCCATTCTCCATGCGGGAGCGGCTCACGACGATCCCAGGCACCGGAGGGGTCGGGAGAGGCCTAAAGTGCCCAGTTAGCAGGAGGAGAGTAGGCAGCCTTGTTCTCTCCCACGAGAATCCTCTGAGTAAGTTCCAGGGCCAGTCCACTCGTCCTTCGGGCCTCAGCTCAGCCATCACGCCCCCTGGGAGACCTGCCCACACACCAGGCTGAGCTACCTGCTCCCCAGCCCATCCTGTGCTCCCCTGTGCCAGCTCTGATGGCTCCACTGGGCTGCTGTCTGCTTAGCTGAGAGTTTCCTGGGGAAAGGGCTCAGGGCCCAGTATGGGAAGGTACGGGAATGAATGAACAAATGAACACATGATGGGAAGACTACTGGAACTCTAGCAAAGGCAGAGGGACATAGTGAAGTGCCAGGGCTCTGGAGTCACAAAGACCTGGGTTCAAATTCTGGCTCCACCATTTGTAAGCTCTATGTTCTTGGGCGAGTTATGTGACCTCTTGGAGCATAGCTTCCTCACTCATACAATGGGAGTAAGAATAAAAGCGGCAAAATCCACTTCCTAGAAGTGCGAGGATTAGTGTTTGTTAAAACCCTTAGCATGATGCCCTATATACAGTAGGGGCTTAATAAATGACAGCTTCATCAGTATCATCGTCATTGCTTGAAAGGGCCCTGGAGCCCATCTCCAACCCTTTCATTACGGGTGTGGAACCTGAGACTCAGACAAGTTAAGGAACTTGCTGAAGGTCACACAGCAAGTCAGTGGCAGAACCGGGACCAGAAACAGCTGTCACATTCTCAGGCCACCGCTCTCCCCACCACTCTTCCCCGTTGGCTTTGGGAGAAAGGATGAGGAGTGGAGGGAGGGCGGAGGTGAGAGAAGATACAATCATTGCTGCCTGGCACCCTCCTAGCAGCACCCTTCAAGAACTTCTTACATCATGTCCATGGCTTCTCCATGTCAAGGTCAAGGAGGGCAGCTTTAGGCAGCAGCACCTGGGGCAACAGGCGTGAGGACAGGACACCCTGGGGGGCCTGAGAATCCCAGAAAAATCTGGTTCCCTTGTCTGTGCCTTTGACCTGCCTCCAAGCTCAGGGCAGGCCCACGCCTGGCCCGACTGTCCCCTCCCAGGAGAGAAGAAGCTGCAGCCTCGATGCCCTGGCTGCTTCCACCCCTTACCTGTGTCCTGGGTCCTAGCAGGCTGGCAGTTGGGACAGGAGACTGTGCTACTGCCTCTTGGGACAATCTTGGGGGTCAGGACATGGTACTCCTGGCCTGGGGATGAACACAGAAATTTCAGTGTCAGCTCCCTACATGCTGCACAATTGAGGGGGACTTCGTATCACGACCTCTCTCCTCTCACTACAAATGGTTTGAATAGGTGCTCTCTCCTTTTCTAGTGTGCACTCACACACACGGCATACGTGCATAAATAAGCATCTAGGAATATAGGTGTGTATGTGCATACATACATGTACATACAGATACACTGATCTTTCTGTTTATGGTAAGCTCGCTCAGACTCCCGTTTCATCTCAGGTCCTACTGAGGTAGGACCTGCTCAGTTCTCGACCTACAGAAGCAATCTACACACCCAGGCTGTTCGGACTTGACAGCAAGCGAGGAAGACATGATAACCAGCGACAAAGAGCGCTGCCACTCTCCCCAGACGCGACTGGCTGGTTGGGATGGGAATGGCTTGTGCAAGGGGGCCCTGCAGCTCAGGGAGTGGGTGCATCTAATTCCAGGTCCACCCCATAGACACAACAGCTTCCGAATGGTTGCTGTGAGAACCGCACAGGCCTGGATCCGTGGGGTAGGCTGCCGAGCGCCTAGCGGATAGAGAGCACTCAGTGTTATCAGAAAGTTGGTCAGACTCTCAGATCCTCACCCCAACCCCTGCCTGGTGCATCCCTGAGTCCTAAATAAGATCTGCACGTTGCCCAATGACTGGTCATTTTTCCCCCCTCTGCTGTTACAGGGTTCCCACTTTATACTCTCTGTGTTGCTCTGGGGTCCCCTGGACTCACTGTTGCTCTCACTTCTGACTCCTTGGCCTCCATCTACCCCACTGGGGCAGGGCAAGTGGCCCCATGGTTCCTGTCTTGTCCCCAGGGCTCAGCCGTACGGATCTGAGGCTGAACACTGTCCCTCCCAGGGAAGGGTGGGTGAGAGCCGTGTCTATAATTCACTTACTATGATAATTTACACATTTACTATTAATGCTTATTTGTTATGTCTTCTCTAGACAGTCAGATTCAGGAAAGTAGGAGCCCTCTCCATATTTGTTTTAATGTTAAGCACTTTAAAATCCTGCTAAGCGTCATCTCAAGCTTTACTACGGGCTGGGTGCCTGGTTCCTAAGACAGAGGGGCCCCCTGGGGAATCAGACTTGAAGGTCGGGCAGGAGTAAATGATTCTGTGTTTGTTCTGTAGCCCAGGTCCAGAAAACAGCAGCTGCCTCCTAAGCCTCATTGTGATTGGCCAGCTGAATGTGCTGATCCAAGCATGGACCCTGGCAAAGGGGAGGCATCAGAAACCATTTGCTGAATGAACAGGAGCACTGAGATTCACAGACACCATGCTCCCTGAAGTTTTCCACATCACAGAACTCGGGGAAATGATACTATTCGATACTACTATGGCTAAATAGCAAAGGCTTCTCATGATAGAGAAGACCACCCCGGGGACAGCACCCACCCCAGCCCTCCCCTCTGGCCCACCTGTATACTGGCCCCGGAAGGTGACCCTGTCTGGCCGACTGGTACTGCGCATTCCTCTCATTTTGTCCCGAGTTGCCTGTGGGCTGTCCCTGGTGGTCCTGCCCTTCTCAGAGGACAGCCGCGGGGAGGTTGGCTCAGATTCGGGACCTGGGGTAGAGACAGAGGGGCATCAGAGTGAGCAGGCAGGAAGGTCATGCAGCTCGGGGAGTGCGTGGATCTAATCCCAGATCCGCCCCTCTGTGGAGACAGCCCCCACACTGGGACCCCCGCCTTCGCACTCAGCACCGGTCTAGACCCCTTGCCGGCGCTGTGCCGTGCGCCCCATGGCAATCCCAGGAGGCAGGCACTATCTTTCCTACACTGTTAACTGTCCCTCTAACTGCACGGGACAGGTGAGCCACCTGGACACCGATTCCAGAGCTGTGTGACTCTAGGCAAGTCCCCTGCACTTCTGGGCCTAGGTCTCCTTACATTTGCAGAACGTGGATATTATGGCCCGTCTTGCAGTGAGGATTAAGTGAGGCGATCTACCGAGTCCGGCACAAATAACGCCTCTTTTTCATTACAAAATCATAAGCATGTAATTCTGTAGCGTAACAATATCACACGCAAGCACACCACATGACATTTTAGGTGAAGTGTTTGAATTAAAACTATGAATTATTACCCCCATATTATTACCCTGCCAACCACACCCACGCAGGCCTGACTTCTGCCGGACCCTGTGTGAGTGTCTTACAGTCGCAACAGCTATCACTGGACGTGCATCACGCTTCAGAGCGCCACAACCACCTCTAACAGACGCACAAAAGCCTTCAAGTGTTTTCTAAGCCTGTTGCTGCGGTCCCTCACCACTGAACCACCACACCCAGACTGTGGGCTCCAGAAATCAGTTTCGGCAGATGGTCACTTACTCCAGGACAGTCGGGGCACCTCCCGAGGCACGGAGGAGGACCTGACCCGCCGCCTTCCTGTGGGGACAGCTTGCTCGGCACCTCCAGGCTCACTGGCCAATCTCTCTGTAGATTTACTAGTAAAAGAGTGAGAGCTGATGTCACTGGGTGAGGTTTTAGGCAGCCTTAATGTTTTTTAAAATATGTTTACTGATTCGAGCCCTGGCTGGTGTAGCTTCAGTGGATTGAGTGCGGGCTGTGAACCAAAGAGTCACCAATTCGATTCCCAGTCAGGGCACATGCCTGGGTTGCAGGCCAGGTCCCCAGTGGGGGCCACATGAGAGGCCACCACACACTGATGTTTCTCTCCCTCTCTCTCTCCCTCCAATAATAAATAAAATCTTTAAAAAAATAAATATGTTTACTGATTTGAGAGAGTGTTTCTCTCCAGAAACATCAGATGTGAGAGAAAAACATTAATTGCTTGCCTCCCATATGTGCCCTGACCAGGAATCAAACCTGCAACCTCGGTACATGCCCTGCATGTCCTAACTGCTGATGGAACCTGCAACCTAGGCATGTGCCCTGACTGGGAATCAAGCCCCCAGCCTTTCAGTGTTCAGGACGATGCTCCAACCAACTGAGCCATCTGGCCAGGGCAGGTTTTATGCAGCCTTTAAAGATGATCGATGAGGGGCTAGCCCAGAGAAATACTTATAATGGAAGGAGGAGAGCAGGGAAGTCAAAGCTAAAGACCCTGGGGTCAGAATCACAGGAAATGGCTCTGGGCCTCTCTGACCCTCAGTTTGCTCATCTGTCAAATTGGGATAATAAGAGCAATTACTTTAGAGAGTTGTTGGGAGGATTAGTGAGACAACGTCCCCAAAACCCTTAACCTAGCGCCCTCCCAGAGATCCGTCCCTAGTTCGCTGATGTTGTTATCATCCTGGAGGAGTATCTGCTGAGGGAGTGGGTGAGAGGGTGAGAGTCCTGAAGATACTGTAGCTCTTCAGGTGGGCGGTGAGGTCCGGGTATTTGTTGTATCAGACTTTATTTACTAACACATGTTTATATTTTTATGCACCAAATATAACACAGTAAAAAAATGCAAGAGCGAATGAATGATTAAGTGAATGAGTGAGGGAGGGAGCGGTGTGGCTGTGCCTGTGTCCACAAATCTGGAAGGAGCCAGAGGCCGTCCACGTCTGCCTTCTGTGGCTGCCCCCAGGGCACAAGGGTGGGAGTTTGGGGGTTACTCACCTGCCATAGTGAGAGCCCCAGGCGGCCGGGGAATCTGCTGGCCAGTTCCGGGCCCGGGCAGGGTGGTCATATGTGGACGCTGGCTGTGTGGGGCTGTCCTGGGGCGGCTGGTGCAGGCTGTCCTCCAGCCGGAGCTGGAGCCGGGACACCTCCTGTTGCAGCTCGCGGATGGCCTGGCTGGGGTGGGGTGGGGACAGCAACGAAGAGCAGACGCACATGAACGGAGCTGCAGCCACCCCCAGAGTCCTGCCCGATGGGGCAGCCTTCATCCCCTGCTAGGAAGCATGCGGTCCAACTCCACTGTTACTTCATTCTAGACCATTCCTACACGTCTATAGTCCTTGCATCTTGAACCTCTCTGAGTTCGAGTCCCTGCACTTTCAGTGAACAAAGCATAACTTTCTTCGAGGCTCATCTGTCCTACCATGCCGGGCCTCGGAGTTGCTTTTCTGAGTCACGAGTGACCAATTCTCAAGACAGAGACAAGGGTACAGAATGCAGAGGGTGTTGGCTAAAGTTTCCCTTTAGAATCCGAATTCTGACCTTCTTTGGCCCCTGGGCTGCCCTCCTTCTCCTACCTCTGTCTATAGAAATCCTAACTATCCTTTCAGGCCTGACCCCTTCCCACCCTTCCCTCCTGGGTTCCCCTAAATGCTTCCTGTTGTTCAAGCCCCTCTCTCCGCTCCTGGCAGGAGATACTTACGTATCTGCCCCCCACCCCCCGTACCCCCAGACTGTGAGCCACTGGCAGGCACGGAGCAGGTCTCCCCAACACATAACCCCAGAGACCCCTGCACCTCCCAGATGCTCTGGGAGCATGACCGAACAGGACTTCAGGCTCCAGGAGGGAGCAGAGTAAGGGGCTGGCTGCCGGAATCCCTGTGAACCCCAAACGCAGCGCAACCTCTTATTGGACGTTATCTCAAAGAGCTACTAGCATCTCAGGAGTGAATGCCATCTGCGTTTCTCTCCAACCAGTCCCTGAATCTCTGGTCTCATTCTGGAGGTGTCATTGGCACTGTGGCAGCTAATCCCACACGCACAGTTCCCCCCACCCCCCCACCAGCCCCAACAGAGAGTCAGAGTCTGCTTCGGCACAGCTGTCCTCCGGGCTGACGCAGGCTCTCCCTCTGCTGTTTGGGGCCAGCTTCCGGAGTGCGGGCTCCCCTCAGGGTTAGCTCTTGCCTGGTGACCCCTGGACTTGTCAGTGGGTGTCCCCTGGCATCACCTCCAGCAATCATCAGCTCTCGGATGAGTCCGCAAGAAGGACCGGGAGGCCTCTCCCTAGCTGTGCCCCAGCGCGGTGCGTGTCCAAGGTGGTTGGTTCCCCTGGCAATCCCCAAGGAGACGCTTGTTGGGGTTTCCCAGGCAAACTGTGAGGGCGGGCGGCGGCAAGAGAGCCAGAGCTCTGTCACCAGTTAACCCCTGGAAGGCAGGGCCCGGGGCAGCTCTGGCTTCCTGACCCAGGCCAAAGGCCGCTGAATGAAGGCCTGGGACTTGGAACGCCCGCATGGGTGTCACCGTCTCTGGCTCCTTTTAAAAAAAATCAGGATCTGCATTTTCCTGACTTAATTCTTTAGGGACTGAGCTGGCACTTAAAATTCATCTTTCCCTGCAAACTTACCCCCCCGCTGGGCTCCCACCTCCGTGTCAGCCTCCAACTGGACGGCCAGCCCCAAATCGGTCATTCTAGACCCTTCTCCTTCCTGAACACCCCTAAAGTTAACCCACCACCAAGCCCTGTGGGCCCAATGCCTAAACATGTCTTCCCAGATGCACCCCCTCCCCTCCCACGGCCCCAAACTCTCGCCTCTCTCCTGGCCCCATGGCCTTCTCAGCGCTCTCCCGGCCTCCATTCTCATCCTCGTGACAGCCAGAACTCTTTCTAAAACGTAAGCCTGACCCCACACTCCTCTGCTTAAAATCCCCCTTACTGTCTCAGGTGAGTCTTTTTTTTTATCGTCACCTCAAGACATGCTTATTGATTTTAGAGAAAAGGGAAGGGAGGGAGACAGAGGGACAGAAGCATCAGTGCAACAAAGAAACGCTGACCGGCTGCCTCTTGAACTTGTTCCTGTCCTGACCAGGGACCAAACCCACAACCTTTCGGTTTACGGGATGACGACACCCAGCTGGCTATAGAAATGTCTGGCTAATGGAGCCACACTGGCCAGGGCTCAAGTGAGTCTATTTATGCATTCATGCATATTCAGTGAACCCCTGTGAGCCCAGCCACCACCCAAACCTCTAACCACGACATTGAGGCCCTCCCAGGTCTCCCCCAGGTCTCCCCATCAAACTCTCTCTGCCTTTACAGTTCAACACCCATCCCCTCGTGCTAAAGAATCTGAACAAAATGAATGTTTGACTCCTCCAATATGATGGTACCTCTCACCTCGAGTGCTTTGCACATGCTGTTCCCTCGGCTAGAGATACTCTTTCATTCGTCTTCCTCTGGTCTCAGCTGAGACACTGCTTCCCCCAGGAAGCCCTCCCTGAAGCCTCGGATTGAGCTAAATGGCCCTTCTCCATGTTTCAACAGTCCCTTGAGCCTCTCCATCACTGTACTTATCACACTTAGGGTGTGACCACCCGTTTCTTCGTCCGTCCTACAAGAGGGCGAGCCTTATGAGGCTGAGGACAGTGTCTTGTCCACTGTGCTATTCCCAAGGCCTGGCATATCGCAGGCAAATAAGCCTCTGATTCCTAGGCTGATGTCAGGGAGGCTGCAGAGTACACTTGTTAAACTTGGACCTGGAAGCCAAACACCAGCAGCTAGACCCGACTTTACAGGGAGACCACATGCCAGACGACCCCATGACCACAGAGCCACAGAGGCTTTGGAAGGTTACTGCGGAGCAGTCTCCCCAGTGCACCCTGGGATTCTGAAACAGACACCCCAACCCCACAAAGGCATGTGATTGGTCCTTGGCCAAAAGCAACTTAGAGGAGAGGTAAGAGGGTTGGCCAACCCATTTTCCCATTTCCGTTCAACCACACAAGGAACAACTTCCTTAGTAGAGAAATTGTGCAGGATTGAAAAGATGAAAACTGAAAAGCAGTCTCTTCTCCGTTCATACAAGAATGCACAACTGCAGAAAACGTGTCCCTGGTGAGTTCCCCTTCTCGCTCAGGAAGGGAAACGTCAGGGGCAGGAAGAGGGGTTTCAGCACCAGAAAGGTAAACCTCCAGGTCATTTCCCACTGGCTGGACACGTGTCCTCCAAGTCTGGATCCCTGAGGTCCCACAGAAACAGCCGGAAAGGCAAGACACCTGCGTCTGCCGGGCCCCAGCACAGCCACCACCGGCCATGAGGGCTGAGCAAACCCCTGCCGCCCTTGAGCCTCACTCTCTCGTCTCTATGACGACCAGGCATCTGACTTACTCTCGCCCTGTCCTGGTGAGGAGGGCTGGGGTGGTCTCCGTCAGTGCACGGGGCGGAGCAGCAGCTGCAGGGGCCGGGGTGGAGGGTGGGCTGACTCTGGTGCTGGGGTGGAGCTGTTCAGAAATCCGCTTTCTCCCCTCCAGCTGTGAGCCAGGGACACCTAGGGAGGCAGAATGAGACCAAAGTGAGTTGATGTGGAGGAGACCCTCAATGTGCAAACTTGTAAGGGTGGGAGATTTGGGGGGATGGGGTGAAGAGGTCACAGATGAAGCTCCTGATGAGGTAATGACCCACTAACCTCAAAACCAGAAGATGTGGTTTTCGCTGGGAGTGTGGGGTGCTGTGCTAAGCCTGCTGAGCTGTTTCTAATTAGAATGCCCCTCACGGTCCACGCTCCTGGCATCAGATCCAAGTCTCCGGGACCCTCCCCCTGCAAAGAGCCTCACTGTGCCTCACGTGAGTCCCCCAGACTCTGTCATGCATCTATCTCACCATGTTGTCCTGGAATTAGCTTCGGAGCCTCCACCTCTCTCTGACATTACAGTCACACCTTTGCCTGAGAGCATGTTTTGGAGGAGAGCATTCATGACTTCAGCCTCCCAAAGGGATGGGCAACCAGAGGTTAAGACCACTAATCTGGCCTGTGCATTAAAAACAATGAGCCCGCCCTGGCTGGTGTACCTCAGTGGACTGAGTGCCGGCCTGTGAACCAAGGGGTTGCCAGTTCAATTCCCAGTCATGGCACATGCTTGGGTTGAGGGCCAGGTCCCCAGCAGAAGGAGTGCAAGAGGCAACCACACATTGATGTTTTTCTCCTTCTCTTTCTCCCTCCCTTCCCTTCTCTCTAAAATTAAATAAAATCTTAAACAAACAAACAAACAAATAAACAGCCCTCGGAATACTACTGAGCAATAGGTGAAAAAACAAACCACAAACACATGGAACAATCTAGATAAATCTCCGGAGAATTAGGCTGAGTGAAAAAGCCAATCCCAAAAGATTATACATTATATGATTCCACTTACACAAATAACCTTCTAAAAAGGATAAAATTATAGACAGGGAGAAGAGAGTAGTGGTTTCCAGGAGCTAAGGAGAGGGTGGGGGCAGGAGGGAAGGGGGTGCGTCTCTAGCAGGGCCACACGAGGGTCCTGTGCTGTGGAAGGGCCCTGACTGGGTCCCCGACAGGGTCTGGTTGGCACTGCACCGTGATTCCGCACGACGTTATCACTGGGGGACGCTGCGTGAACGGCACGTGGGATCTCAGTGTATTATTTCTTACAACTGCCTGTGAACCTACCAATAATCAATAAACCTTTCAACTAAAGTTTAATTAAAAAAATGTAAGCGATGAACCTTAAAAGGAGGCAAAGCTAATCTGAGGGGTTAGAAGTCAGAGCCGCGGTTCCCTTTGGGGGCGGCAGGGGCAACAGAAGGGGCTCGAGGGGACTCTGGGGCCCTGAGCATGCTGCATTTCTGCGTCTATGTTCACTTCGAGAAGATTCATCAACTTGTGGTCTTTCCTGTACGTTTTATTTCAATATAAAGCTCACATGCATTTTTAAAAGTAAAAAAATAAGTTACAGATAGTTTTTATAGACATGGAATGTGTTCGAGATACAATGTGTAGTGAAAAAAGGTGTTATCGAACGTTAATGTGCCCTATTTCCATTTTAAGAGTATGTAAATCAACACACACACACACACACACACACACACACACACACACCCCGGCATGGAAGGCATCTCACAGGCTCTGCTCCAAGATGGCTGCAGCAACAGTTTGCAGCACATTTTTTTTCTTTTGCTCCCTTTTGCCTGCCCTAGCTAATTTGAAATGTTCCTACAGTGAACCTGTATGATATTTTGTATCCTGAAGGGTGACGCAAGCTTTTTGGTTGGTCCCATTTTCTAATCTAGGCAACCCGGGCACCCCCAGGCCCTGGCCAACCCAGGCGCACCCACTCACCCATGTCGGCTGCCATCCCCGACTCCAGGCGGAAGCTGGGTGCCCTCTGCCGGAGGGGACTGTCCCGTGTGGAGGGGTGCCTCTGGGCTCGGCTCCTGGGTGTTCTTGGCTCAGTGGCTCTTCTGGGGACCGGAAGACCCCTGGCCCGGGGGTGGGAGGCTGCATCCCGGGGCACAGAAGCAGTGAAGGACTGGGCTAATGTCCCTGGGGTTCTGGTGGGTCACAGAGGGAGGGACACTGTGAGGTCACACAGAGCGAGGCCACAGCCACCAAGCCCCTCCACACCCTGAACCAGTGACTGCCTGCCTTTAGGACCGTGCACCCCGGATAGGAGTCTTTCTGAGGACGCACCCCGTTGCACATGCATTTCCTTACAAACTACAATTTCACACCTGTCCACCAATGCAGGCAAAATTATAAAGCTTAACTGTGCACTTAGAAAATCCACAAGGAAACAGAATTTCTAACCCTTTCTTCCCACACAGCCCTGGGTTGCCATGCGGGCCTGCTGAGGGGCCTGCACCTGGTCTCCAAGGCCGTCAGTCTTCACGGCGGCTCCGTCCCTCACCCTTCACCTAAGCCCCCTCCACCCTCTCTTTTCCCTTGGGGTTCCAGCCACTCCTTCCCCAAGCAGCCACCCCGACGGCCTTTTGTCCTTGTCCTCTGTTCCCCTCGCACAACCCTCAAGTTCTTATCTACTCACCGCTCACTCGGTTATTTGCTCCACAAACATTTATTTTCTGGTCTGTTGCTAACTGGCCGAGTGATGCTGGGCAAGTCACTTTCCCTCTCTGAGCCTCAGCTCCCCTCCATCAGTAAGACGGGGGAAGGAACCATGGCTGAGGGGATGGTGAGGTCTCTGAGAATACCCAGCCCATCGGCCTGTTCTAGGCTCACAGGCCACTGCGGTTTCCAGGCTATCCTGGGTGTGTGGCACTAATGGGACAATGGTGGGGGTCCCCGGGGTATACCTGATGTGAGAGAGCCGATGCTCTGGGGTCTGGGTGAGGGGCGACACTCTGCTGGTTTCTGAGTCCACAAAGCCACTGTCTGTCTCGGGTGACGCCATCCAGGACTCCTGTAAGAGGCAGTGTCCCTTTAAGTCTGAGGAATGTGCCCGAGGCAGACTAGGAAGACCTTCCCAAACCTTGGCCTGGGCCTCACATTCCAGAAGCTAACAGATTGGACTGGGGAGGCTGGCCCAGCTCCCGACATCCCAGCTCGGGCCCTTGGCACCCAGCGGGTGCGGAGTCTCACCAGGCCAAGAGCGGAGACTCCACACCTGGAGATTCCGCACCCGCACAGGACCCTAAGCAAGTCCCCCTCCCCTGAGCAGTGGCAGCCAGGGCCCTGCAAGGGATACTGCAGATTTCCTGAGCAGAGGAACAGAAAGAGGAGAAAGCAGTCCCGGTATGGGATGAGGATGCTCATTGCCACGTGTCTTCTGGCCTGGGCCTGGGCCGCCATGGCCCCATCTGACTGCAGAAATGCCCCACGAATCAGGAGAATGAAACCCACCAAACTTCCCGCACGCCAGGTCTCACGTGCAAGGCACGAAGGATATGAACAGAGTCACCCAGGTGCCTGCCCTCATGAGCTCATGGTCTAGTGCAGATTTCTTACCACGGGCTCATTAGGACTATGGGGATGTGTGTGTGTGTACTTGCTTATATATGTGTTCTTCTATGGGAATGAGTCATATTCCATAGCGTATGTCACATTCCCCTAGTGATCTGTGATCCTGTAACAGTCTAAAAACCACTGCTCTAGTGGCACAAGCAGGACATGGAGTTAAGGATGAGCCCCCAGCTGTGCTGAGCAGGCTCAGAGGGCTACACGCTCTCTCCAAGGAGGAACAAGAGCCGCTGGCAGAGGGACAGGGGTGGGCGGAGCTAAGACAAAGAGGAGGCACTGGACATGAGCTCTGTATGTTGGGCAGGACTGTGACTGGCAGTGACGGGAGCTGGCATCCTGAGGAGGCATGGTGTGAGCAAAGGCCCGGAGGCAGACAGCTCCCTGAGGTTCTGAGCCCGTTCCCCTGTGTGGACACTTACCTCCAGATGCCCACCACCAGCTTGGCGTAGAGACTTGTGAGGAAGGCGCTCAGAGACGCCGCTCCCCTCTAGGCTGGTCAGACTGCTCTGGTGGGATGCCGAGGGCTTGGTGCCCTGCGAGTGGGGTGGCCTTCCAGGGCCCGGAGAAGCTGCCTCGGCCTTGCCCAGGCCCAGCAGGGACCCATCTCTGGCCACGGGTGCATGGAAGCCTGCTGGTTTCCTGGATACCATCTGTTCCACTGTCTCCCTGGCAGAGAAGAAGAGGATGTCACGCCCTGGCCTGAGCTGGGCAGCCCTGTCCTGGGACTCAAGTAACCAGGGCACAAGCTCTGATCAAACACCCCTGGGTGCCCATGCTGGTTACTGCCACCTCCTTCTGGCTGTGACCTTGGGCAAGGCACTTCCTCTCTCTGAACTTCACTTTTCTCAGCACGACATGCGATGCCAATCAAACCCACCCAGTACTGCACAGAGGCAATGGTGTGGAAACACACGAGTGAAAGCTGCATGTCCCAGGCTTCGGGAATCTGCATACCGTCTGCCCCGTTTCAGCCATTTCCATAAACTCCAGTCTACTCAAAAAGACTTCACTATTATAAAGAGAAGACCAGTGTTTTGTGTTGCAAAAAGAAACTAACATTGAAAATACACACAAGAAACACAATGTTATCATACTCTAGACAGATCCTGTTACCGGCCTAAGGCCTGCTCTCCTCTCTCTCTCTCTTTAAAAGAAGATGAAGGGAGACAAAATAGCACTGAGACCCTCTCCTGGATGCACTTAGGTGGTCTGAGACTGACAAGGAGAATGCTGGTATTTAAGGCTGCTTCTCTCCTCCTGAAAATCGCATCCCGCACAGCCCCCAGTCATCCCGAGTGCTGTCAGTGGCATTCACGGAGAGACGCTGAGCTACAGGTCATGAAAGCCATGTCTACGTTGTGGAGAGCTGTCTCGCTCACGAAGGCAATCACCGCCCTCGTTGTTTCAGGGTTGGATGGCACAAGCGGCGGGGGCCCACGGACGTACTCGAGGGGGGTCCTGTGACTTCTCTCAGCCTGCACTGGCAGCTGCCTCGAGGAAAGCCTGCCGGTCTCTGCTGTCCCTGGAGCTGGAGCTGACCCGTCAACTGCCAGGGTGCTGCCCTGTTCCTCCTGCTCCTCCTCCTCCTCGGTCCTCACGGCTTCTGGGAGGGACTTCACACTGAGGTACCTGCAGAAGGGTGCACAGAGGGGGCATGAGCTTTGTCCAGCAGGAACAGCCAAGATCCAGCCCTTGGGCCGGACTGGTGGGCACTCACCGCTCCAGCAGCCCATGGAAGTCTTGCTCCACCTGCAGCTCCTTGTGCCTGAGTCGGGCCGGGAGCCCCAGTGCCCTGTCCTCCACCTCACTGCCAGCGGGGCTCATCTCCCCGTTCACGTGCAATGCACAGGGGTCAACGCTGGTGGCATCGGGCTGGGGGCCAGAAAGGAGGAGGAGCAGGGATTCAGCAGACACATAAACACCACTTGTTAAGGGCCTGCCTCCCGTCAGGCTCATGCTGGGTGCCGAAGAGTCAAAAGTAGGTGAGACTCGCCTACCCTACCAATCTTTTCATGTGCGTGCAAGATGAAGGGGCTGGATCACAAGATTCTCAACACTGACTGCCATTAACTGAGCACCTACTACATGCCAGGCACTGTACTTCACAACAATCTCATCAGTACATACGGTTATTACCACCCATTTTACAGACACATAACTGAGGTGCAAATGATTTGCCCAAAGGCACACAGAAGCGAGGGGCAGAGCTGATATTTCAGCCCTAGTTTTCCTGGCGGAAGCATCTCTCCTGACCCCCCAATTCCAGCATAGACACCCAGCCCCCCAAAACACCTTCACTGAAAGAGCATGGAAGCTCTTCATGCCCTCAGTCTTTTACCAGTTAGTGCCTGGGGTAGCGCCTGCTAGAGTTTTCCCACCCCCTGGGGCAGAGCACACTGGGAGAGAATCTCCCCTGTAACCCTGGGCCCCAAGACGTCAGCGGTCATGGGTATTCTCCTAGTGGCCGGCTCTCCACCAGCCCCGGTCTACCTAACACGCCACCTGTTCTACTCTAACTCCCACCAGATGAGTCTTTGCAGCACAGGTGGCAGGGAGCACAGGCAACGAGGCACAGAGACTCCGCCTCGGTTACCCGTGTGACCACTGCCTGCCTGCATATCCTCTTACGTCATGTCCTGTTGAAAAACGTAGCCGTTTAAGACCACATGCTTCACATGTCCCACCAGCCCTACATCCTGGGCCCCCACCCGCCTCTCCAGCTGCATCTTTCAGGCAACTGCCCCTTCACTTTCAGACTCTAGCCACAGGCCCTTTGCATAGGCTGTTTTCCCCGCTGGATGGCTTCTTCCATACCTGGTAATTCCTATTCACCCTCAGATCTCATTTAAATATTATTTCCTCAAGGAAAGTTTATCTGAGCCCCCACCCAAATTCATTTATGTTACCCTGTAATCTACTCTCACAAAACCCTGTAATTCTCCTTCATAGCACTGATCAAAATTATAGTTAAATATCTGTATAATTAGTTCAACCAGACAGAAAACTCCATGAGGGTAGAAGCCACCCTTGTTTTTGCTTGTTTCCCAGCAAATCCCTTCCATGTGTCATGGGTCCTGGCATATGGTACATACTTCGTAAGTATGTAGTAAAGAAGTTAATTAATGAAGAAATGAAGGAAGGAAGGAAGAAAGGAGGGAACCAACCAGCACGATGGGGCAAAGAGGTACCTCTGGGCAGAGGGTCTGGCCGGCCGACGTGTGGGCTTGTCTCGAGGGAGAGGACAGGCTCGTTGGCCTGCGGGGGAAGGGCGAGGCTGGGGGGCTGTCCAGAGGTGAGTCTGACCCTGCTCGCTCAGGCTCCTGCTGGCTCTGTTCCATGTAGTCCTTCAACTCTTCCAGGCGAATTCCCAGCTGGAATATCTCCGCCTCCAGCTCCCTGGAATGGGAAACGGCAGCACTGGGAACCGGAGGTGGCAGCCACATCGGCATGTCTGGGAGATGGGCTTCCAAGCAGACCCCAGAGAACGCCCATGCGGGGGGGGGGGGGTCGATTTCCCTGGGATCAAGAGATCTCAGCCCAAGTCCCCCTCTGGCACCCATAGGCTATGGGACCTTGAGTAAATCCCTTCTCCCTCTGGCCTCAGTTTCCCCATTCTCCAATGAAGGGTTTCAGCTCTTATCTCCAAGGTCATTTCTCATTTCGGTGAGTCCAGAAGGACACAAATCTCAGCCTTCAGTATTCACCCATTTGCATATGTGGCTAATCAGGATAGGACTTCTCCTTGCTCCCCTAGTGCATAAATTATGAGGGTGAAGTGCACCCCTGCTGGTGACCGAGTGGGCACTCTCCCTCCTCCCTGGCCTCCCTCCCTAGCAAGTACCTGCCAGGATCAAACTTCTCAGGCATCCCCTCGGAGCCAGCGGGCTGCTGGGCCAGGTGCTGCTCCCTGCAGGCCTTCAGGTATTCTTCCTCCAGGGCCGAGTGGGCAGCCTTCAGCCGCTGGAAGCCCTGAAACCACACCAGGTGAGGAAGAGCTGAGTGCCCAGCCCCTGTGCATTCTATCCCTGTAGACGCAGGGCTGAGATGGTCCATGGACGCGCCACGGCACTCAGCCTGGGCCTGTGGAGGCCTCGGGGCCTCTGAGTCCCTGGGAGGCTGGGGCCCTCCGGAGCCCGCCCACCCTGATCGAGCTCTCTGCCGTCAGACTGGCGGGGCACAGTCTCGGCACCAGCTCCAGGGGGCACCAGTCCTTCCTGCATAGAACAACGAGAACCCCAATGTTCCGTGACAGTTGTAGTGTCAAATATGCCGTCACTGTGTCCCCAAAAGGACCTAGTACCAGAGACCTGTGGGTCTTCACTTATTTTTTATCCTCACCCAAGGCTATGTTTACTGATTTTAGAGAGAGAAAAGGAGAGAGAGAGAAAGGTGGAGGGAGAGAGAAGGGGGGAGGGGAGAGAGAGAGAGAGAGAGAGAGAGAGAGAGAGACACTGAGATTGACTGCCTGCCACTACGTGCCCTGACCGGAAACCAAACCTGCACCTGAGGTATGTACCCTGACTGATTGAACCCACAACCTTTTGGTGTACAGAACGGCACTCCAACCAACTGAGACACCCAGTCAGGATGGTCTTCATTCTTAATTTGCAACCCTGTGGGTTTGGGAACTTTAGTCATTCTTTCCCAAATCCTTACAGTCATGACGGATGATGTTATCACCGTCACACTACTGACACAGATAAGTAACATTACTGAGCCCTGAGGCTCTGGGCTAAAGCACTTCATTCCTTTGACCTTCAACACAACCCTAGTAGGATGGGTATATTATCATCTTCCTTTGAAGAGAAGGAAACAGGCACAAAGTTGGTGGTGGTCACACAATGAGAGAGCAAGTTATAGAGCAGATTTTGAACCTAGCCCTCTGGCTGCAGAGCTCTTGGACCTACCAATGATACCTGGCCCGCACAGTAAATGTGATAGTAGCTAACACGTGGCTAAAACCACGGGAGGTGGGATCATTAAACCTGGCACAGTATCATCCCATCCCACTCACTCTATGCTGACCACAGACTGAGGCCGAGGACAACCTAGCGCCTAGACCCCACAGTCCCCAGTCAAGCTCCATCTTCCAACAGGTCCCAACCTCCCTGTCTATGAAGGAATTAGCATAGAGGGGAAGAAAATGAACGGTTTTCATTTGTAAGGTCCTTGATCAGCCACTGAAAGCGATACAATATATATCACACATTAGTGATTGGAAAATGCACGTGGTGTCTCTACAATTATACGGGGAAAATACTTGCACCATAATTTTTTCTACCGGTGCGTTGCATCTGTCCCTCTGGGCCCTCGCCCTCCCCGCCTTGTTCTGTGCCTCGCGCATCAACGGGGCTCCCCAACCGCTGGCTTCCCGTGGGGTCTGTCCAGTGGGAGGCACCTGTGAGAGGTCACAGGGCAAGAGGAGAGAGACCCAGGAAGGGACGGCCCCGGGCAGGTGCTAGTCACTGGGTGTCCCTGTTCCCTGTCAGGCCCCTGATGCTACCACACCCCTGCTAACGGGCCCTTCATTGACCCCACACTCCCAGCTTTGAGGGCTCCATCTGCCCCTTTGGGACCCCGGCTGATGGAGCAGAAACTAAAGTTTACACAGAACAAGAGTTACCTAGCAATACCAAAGTCCAAAAGGAAGTAAGCCAATACTGGTTAGATCGGGGGTCTTCCCCATGATGACTCGCCGTCCCCTCCTACAAGTTTCAATTTTTGGGCAATTACTATCATACTAAAGAAAATAAAAAAGGAAAGGCCTCTTTCTGGTTGCTGAGAGCAGGGTAATTGGTGGGAAGCCATGCAGGGCAGTGATTATGACCCTGGACTTGGGAATCAACAGACCTGGGTCCCAGCTCTGCTGCCTGTTAGCTGTGTGGCCTGAAAGTCACCTCTCTGGGATTCAGTTCCATCCCCGTTAAATCGGGGTGATGACTGCGACTGCCTTGCTGGGTTGTTATGATAAAATGAAATCATGTACTCAAAAAGCTTGCCACGGTGCCTGGCTTAACATCATGGCTTACTAAGCGGTAACTACTGTGATATAATGATCATTATCATTGGAAAGCTAAGCAGAGGCTGTTTCTTCTAAATGGAGACACTGTGTCTGGGATTCTCTGGTCTGTCTTGCAGCAAGCGAGGCTTCAGAGACTCCAGGACAGGAGACAGAGCAGTTATTTGGCAGCTCAAAGGGCTTCTGCTGCAGTGGGCGGTACCTTGAGCTGATCCTGGGGCGTCAGCCGGCCTGCCTGCATCAGGCCCGCAAAGGACTCCACCTGGACAGTGGGAAGAGAAGGAAACACGCCCCATTAATCGGGACCCTGGAAGAGGAGTCCTACGGACTCTCGCACTCACCCACATTCACGCTTTGGCCCGGGGAGCTGGGTCCCGCCTTGGGATGTGGGTTTTCTGCCAAGCATGGAGAGGCACGTGCCAGAAATTGACTTCATCGCTGAACTCAGCCATGGGCAGCCTTGGGAAAATTAAAGGGGAACCTCCAGGAACTTATCAGCGCAAAGCCCACTCATTCAGGTGCGTGAAGACCCCTTTAAGGCGGGATATTCCCTGCGGCATGGTGGGGGGGTGGGGTGGGGTGCGTGTCGGGGGAACAGTTTAAACTCCTGTCTGTGGAATAGTGTGCAGACTGCAAGAAGAGAAAGGCATGTGTACATGTTCTGATGTATAAATGCCCCCAAGACCTACTTCTAAGCATTAAAAGTAGGGGGGTAAAAAAGGTACAGGACAGGGTTTCTAGTACGCTACCGACTGTATAAAATATGTGGAGACTAAAAAAGGAAAAAACATAAATACAATTGCTTTTATACAATAAACTGTCTCTAGAAAGATGCAAGAAACTGAAACATTAATTGCTTCTGGGGAGAACTGGGCGGCAGAAAGACAAGGGTGTCCCTCGAACTTTGAACAACATGAATGTATTGCCTACCCAGGAAGAACTATTCAAACTGGGGACATTCAAAAAGCCAAGGTACCGTATAGCTGTGTGACCATTTCTACAAACGCAGGTGTGGGTGTTGCACATTTCTGCACGAGACAGAAGGGCAAGGGTGGGAGCAAAGACTTTTCCCTGAACACACTCGTGCACTGTGTGAGGGTCTTTGACACGTGCATCTCTTTCCTTTACAACTATTTTGAAACATAATAGGAAAAAGGCAAAAGATGATTTGGGGATCATTTCTGGTAAAGCTCTATGGAAATCAGTGTTGAAAAGTAACATAGAAATTTATAGAATTATATAATCTACATAACATGAAATAAGAATGTCAGGGAGGCTCACATCTAATTTCAAATTTCCTAGTGATCATATTGAAAGTGTAGAAAAAGGTGAGTTAAATTGAATATATTTTATAAATCTCAAATATTATTTCGACATGCAATCCATGTAATTATCTGTGAGGTATTTTACATTCCTTTTGTTTCACGGAGTCCTTGAAATCCAGCACGTGGTTTCCACTTACAGAGCCCCTCGGGCTGGACTGGCCAAGCACTCAACAGCCACATGATCAGTGGCTCCTGTATGAGACAGTCCAGCTCTGGCTCATTAGGGGTCAGCCGGTGCCCCAGCTCCTGCTCGGTGTGATGCCCTTGGCTTTGCTTCCCTTTACAACACACAGGACAGGGAGAAACCTCTCTGCAGTGACAGGACCCAGAACAGCGTTGCTGTTCGTGCTATTACAACAGGGATGAGCCTGGAACATTATGTCGAGTGAAAGAAGCCAGACACAGAAGGACGACTACTACATGAAATGTCCAGGGCAGGCAAACCCCAGAGGCAGAAAGCGGATGAGCAGCCACCAGGGGATGGAGGAAGGGGAATGGGGAGTGACTGCTAAGTAGATAAGGAGTTTCTTACTGGATGATGAAAATGTTCTGAAGTTGATTGTGGTGCTGGTGCGTGACTGGGACTACAGTAAAAATGACCGAACCACTAACTCTAAATGGGTGAATTGTACCTCAAGAAAGCTGTTACCAAAAAAAAGGAAGGAAGGAAGGAAGGAGAAAGGAAGAAAAGAAAAAAGGAAAGGAAAGGAAAGGAAAAAAGAAAAAAGAAAAAAGAAAAAAGAAAAAAAGAAAGGAATGTTGGTATTTCTCTAAAGGAACTCATTTTCAGAACATGGTGTTGTATATAATTACTCCATTTCCCTTTTTGCGTTGACAACTAGGAAGCTCAAAGCCAAACATGAATCTGGTAGTGTTCAGGGTCCAACAGAATACTTTGTTTACTCACTTCACCCTGAGTTCACTTTATTTTGTTTTTCTACCCTTACTTCCTTTCTGCCCCAGTTTGCTCACTTCCGTTTGTGTGATGTGGTTATAATGCATGTTTTTTCTAAGCCACTTTCAGAATAAGGCCAAGTGTGTAGTTATAAACAGACTCACAAAACAATTCACCATTATTTAGACTGTTCGATGAAAATATACAGGCCCTTTGAGAGGTGAGTGAGAGTTGGCTTCTGTAATGAAACAAACTAAGAAAGTGGGGTGATGTATCCTGAGGGGGAACGGTCGAGTGGAGGTTCCGTTACCCTTCCAGAATCCTGAGGGCCGAGCATGCCCCGGAGGCAAACCAGGAGACATTTGCAAGCACAACAGGAGAGAGTTTGATGAGATGCAGTGCCACAGAGGGACTTAAACCTAGCACTGGCTGAATGGAGGAGGCTGAGCCAGGGGAGAGGCTCCCATCTTTGACATGATCAAGTTAGCAGGCGGAGGCTCTGCTTCCTCCAAGTGACTCACGCCCCCTGGTGAAGCTGGGGTTCTGCTCACCTTGGCCAGGAACCGACTAGCTTGCGAAGCCAGCGCCTGGGTCCTCTCTGCTGAGGGCTGGTCCTGAGCGACGCCTGGGTTCTCCGGAAGCCACCCTGGGGTGGGTGCGCTGAAGGGCGAGGAGGGGCTCGGGTCTCCTTGAGCCGACGACCACCCTGGGCGGCAGAAAGGAATACGCAACCACTGAACACTGGAGCCAAGAACAGCGCTTCCTGGGGCTGAGGGACGGATGCCACACCTCAAGACCATTGCCTCCATCGTCAGGTCACAGCTCAGTGATCTCGTGATCACACCTCCCTCACGCAGGCCCACAGACGTGGGCTGGGCAGCACTGTCCCCATTCACAGGAGAGAACACAGTCTGGATCTGCTCAGAACCACACAGCTGGAGCCCAGTCAGGCCTCGGTGCTCCCAGTCAACAGTGTGGGCTCACACTCAGAAAGAGGCAAGTTCCAGTCCTAGCCCGCTCCCCCCACCTTGCAGTGGTGGGGCCTTCAGCCTGTGCTCACCTCTCCAGGCCTTGGTCTCTCTAACTGCCCAGGGGTAACATCAGCATGCACGCAGCCATGGGGATTAACTGGGACCATGTGTGGCAAGGCTGGGAGCCCCCATATGTGCTCCACAGTGACAACACTCTTTGTCATGCAACTCTTCCAAGATCACCCAGTTGCCAAGTGGCAGAGGCGTGCCCCAGGCTGCTGTGGCTTAAAGTGGGACACTTTCCACATCTCCATTTGACCCGTTCAAGTCTAAGGGCCCAGAAAACGGCCTCATATCTCTCCCTCCCCTGGCCTGAGGCCAGTGCCAGCCCAGGGTGATCCGAGGGCCCCCAGAGCAGACTCACAGGCCGCAGGGGCCCTCCCTCCATGTCTCCTCTCACAGACTCACCCGACACCTCAGGGGCCTGCAGGGCCTCGGTGGGCCCCGGCCACCGCTGCACAGAATGGGGTTGTGGGATGGTGAAGGACAAGACCTTGGTCCCCGGGGGCACCATCCCTGTGCAGATGCTGTGGCTGGGCTGGGGCGGGTCCGAGTAGAGGTTCACCTGTCAGGGAGAGAGGCACAGGGAGAGCCAAGTCAGGGCTGGGGCAAACCCACCCAAAAGGCCTTACCTTCACTCACACTGTCACTCAGGCACTCAACAAACATGCCTGTGATAATAAATGCCACCTTTTGTGGAGCCCTTGGGTGGGGGAGCCAAAGACTGGGCCAAGGGCTGACATTTCATTCTCTTTCTCTCTCTCTCTCTTAAAGACTTTATTTATTTATTGTTAGAGAGGGGAAGGGAAAGACTTTATTTATTTATTTTTAGAGAGGGGAAGGGAAAGACTTTATTTATTTATTTTCAGAGAGGGGAAGGGAAAAAAATAGAGGAAGAGAAACACCAATGTGTGGTTGCCTCTCATGCACCCCTTACTAGAGACCGGGCCCATAACCCAGGCACGTGCCCTAGACTTGGAATCGAACCAGCAACCCTTTGGTTCGCAGGACAGCACTCAATCCACTGAGCCACACCAGCCAGGGCTCATTTCTCTCTTTATGGAAGTCCCCAAAGGGAGGTAGGGCAGGGACCATAATTCCCATTCTACAGGAGAGAAAACTGAGACTCAGAGGGGTTAAGTCACTAACTCAAAACCTCCAGCCGATAAACCCTTGGGCTGGGATTATAACCTGTCTTTGATCCCGGAGTCTATGTTTTTTTATGTTAATAATTTAAAAATAATATTTATTATAATAACAGTATAACCATAATATTATAATCAATATAATATTTAACATAAAGCAAATATGACTATATTATAATAATATAACACTTATTAATAAAAACTTTCTAACAATATCGTACTGCTAATATCAGCCATTAAGGCTGTTCAAATGAATGAGTAAACCAACAACTCAATGCATTACTCTCTCAGTAGCAGCCGATCGTCATCATCAAAGGCACATTTGACGTAGTAAGCAGCCTGGTTGTGTGAGAGGTGTCTAGGGTCAGGTGGCCGGCCAAGGACGCGCAGACTCGGAGGAGGCCCACGTGCCGCCCGGTGGTTCAGAGCAGGGTCGGCAACCTACGGTCTGCTTCGTGAGCAAGGTTGCAGAGAGCACAGGTCTGCTCGTTTGTTTAGGGGTTTGTTGTGTACAGTTACTTTCCTGCTACAACTGCAGAGCTGAGAGCTGTTACTATGGAGACTGTGTGGTCCACAAAGACAAAAATATTTACTATTTGGCCCTCAGCAGAGAAAAGTTTGCTGACCCCTAGCTCAGCGTGGGAGCTCTGCAGAGCCTGGACTCCTGACCACCTTCGAGTCCTAGAGCAGCTGACTTAACCAGCCTCTCTGTGCACGGAGTGAGTGCTCAGTGAACAGCAGCCTCACATTCCCCACCACCATCATCACCACGGTCACCTCCGTGATCACCACCACCGCCGTCATCACTGTAATCCCCACCGGTATCATCACTGCCTTCATCACCATCATCATCACCACTGACTACCCCCCATCTCCACCCCCTACCCCCTGCAGGCAGGTCCCTGGAAAAGCCACTCCCCTGAGGTACCTCAGTGCTCCCTGTTCCTTAAGGTGTCAGGCAGCTTATCTTACTGCCTGGCGCTTCCCCAGGGCCAGGAGAGGGCAGTTCAGGGTGGGCCTGGTAGAGGGAGCGCCCGGGCCCCCAGGCAGGCAGCCCATCCCTGCTTAAGCTGCTCTTCACGTCCTGGTTGTGGCAGAAAAATCTGCTCCAAAGTGAGGGACAATGGCCCTGCACTGCTTGGGCATGCTCCGCACCACCCCCCCTCGCCGCCCCACAATCCCACACCCCTACCCTGCCTCCAGCTGCCTCCTCCTCTTTCAGGCCCAGCCTCTGATGAGAACAAAGCTGGATTTTAATAATCCCCTCAGCCATCTGCTCAGACCCAACTACGGGGCCCTGCCCACCAGCACCCCTCTCTTCCCGGGGTGACCCAAATCTGGGGGAAGACCAGCCCCCCATGTCACTCCCTGTCCCACCTGCCCCTCCCCTGGCCTCAGACCCGCCCACAGGAACAAGCAGCTTTCAGCACGAGGCCGCATTGTTTTAGGGGCCAGAAGAGCGTGAAGCAGAGGGGCCATAGACTTGTGCGGATGCCCTGAATCCAGGGGCTGAAGGCAGCTGTGGGCAGCTACTGAGCCGTCTCCTAGAACACAGCTGGGGCCCACCCTGGGGCTCCAGCGCGCCCCTTTTAAGTCAGGGTGTCCCACGGTGGCCCCAGAAGCTGGACTAGCTTCCTCAGCGGGGTTGTCAGTGAGCGGTGAATCAGTGAGTGCGGGGGAACATTGGGTTAAATAACTGACTGTACTCTGCACAGATGGGTTTCCCACTGCCTTTAAAATGCTAATGGGCTTTATGAATGGGGTGAGGGGGGGAAGGAGTGGAGAGAAAGGAACTGTTTCCCAACCCCTCTGAATATAGAAACCTCTCTCTTGCCCCCAAGACCTACTACATCCCACCTCCACCAGGGGCTTCTGGACCAACGAGTAGCTGTCCGAACATACACTTTTAGGAAAGCCAGTTTTCTGTTATCCTGATTCTTTCTGGTGTGATTTCTGGTCTCCTCAGCCTCCCAGATGCCCCGGATGCTTAGAGGCAGCTGAGATGGGGGACAGAGGCTGCAGGGAGGTGGCACCAGGACACCGAATGTGTGAGATCACCGTAAACTCTGGCCCTACGCTGGTGTGGAGAACAGAGCCCCGGCTCCCGGCCCCACCCAGTCCGGATCCAGGGATGCTCCCCAGCCAGGCCATGGGACTTCCTGGACAGCCTCCCCAGCTGCAGAACCCAGAGCCTGGTTCTGCTAGACGGTGTGGCGTTAGCAGTGGGCTTTGGGGCCGGACTGCGTGGCTCATGCCCCAGCTCTGACCCCTACTTACTGAGTGATCGTGGGCAAACTGCTTACCCTCCTGTGTCTGAGTCTCCCCCATGGTAAACCCCTTAGGGTAGTGGCCAGTAAACCTCACTTATTACTATTCTTATTCTCACTGCGACACCATCACCCTGCCTGGTCCCTACACGTCTGCTGTGCAGGGTCTGTTGTTGCACTTGCCCAGAATGGGGAGGAGCACCCACTTTGGAATCAGGCAGGCCTAGGTTAAAACCCCAACTTGTGATCCATTGCCAGCTGCGGGATGTAGAGCAAACCACTCCACCTGACTGAGCCTCAGTTTTCTCTTGAAAAGAGGACGGAAGGAGGTAACCCTGGCAGTGCACTTGGCCTTGGCCTGGCACCTTCTCCCTGCTCAGCAAAGGCCAGTCTCCTTTCCCTGGGCCCCCACTGTTGCTGACTATCTACCCTGGGTGTCCAGGGCAACATCTTTAGCCTGGCTCCCTCCCTAGGGGGCTCTGAGCAGAGTGAGGGGCTCAGCAGATCCGGGGGGGGCTCACTCCAGCCAGCTCAGCCTAGAGGAGCAGGAACACGCCCACCTCCCTGACACGGGCTCTGAGCAGAAAGCCCCGCCAGCGTCTCCCAAGCCTGCAGGGTTGAGTCTGCAGAGCCCCGGACAGGGTGAGAGGCCTGGCTGGAAGCCCTCAGCCCCGTGGGACTGGCCACACCCCTTCCACCTGGGCTCCGTGTCCTCAGCACGCTGGCACGGTGGGCCCTGCCCTGCTACTCCCCAGGGCGCTGTGAGACTGGGGGTCCAGGAGCACACTGTCCCCCTTCTAGAAGGGTCCAGCTAACCTGTGCCCACCCTTCTCTTGAGGAGGACCCACAGGCCAAGGAGTCCTTTCCCTGGGAAGTGGGAGTGGGTGAGCTGGCACCAGACCACTCCCAGCCTCTCCCACCTTCGTTCCTGATGGTCAATTGCTAGGCCCAGGTGACCACATAGAGGGAGACACCAGTCCCCACTGGGTTAGGGGAGTTCCCATGAGAGGAGGCACTACGGCTGTCCTCCCACCGTGTCCACCCCTGCTCGTGCCTGCACCGAGCCTGGCACACGGACACCCAGTCAGCACCTTCCTAGTGACGCTTTTAATAAAATGATAGTCCCTGTCTCTAAGGAAGAACTTGCCAGGGGCCAGGTCCGTGCTCTCCCTACACTGTACCAACTCATTTCCTCCATGAGTGAAGGAGGAACAGAAGGGAGAGAGGGAGGAGATGCTTTGAGCCTCTGCTCCTGACCGTGACCTTTGGCAGCCTCTGCCCGTCCTGGGGTCCCAGTTCTCCCATCTGCGAGACAGGGAGCTGTGGACTTGGACCTGATGACCAGTTCCTTGTCCCTAGGACCTCCTAAGGGTCTGCAGTCATGAGAACGTGGTTTCCAGGAGAGGGTGCCTCACCCAACCCCTCTACTGTCCTCCCAGCACCTCCGACCCTTCCACCCCTGAATCTGGCTCAGCAGTTCAGAGCTGTAGGGAGGCTTAAGATACTGGGGAGAGTCCACTGGCTTCCAGGAGGAAGGGATGATTAACTCCCTTTTACAGATGGCCCCAGGAGACTGGGGTGGGAAGGGACCTGCCTGTGTGTGAGGCCGGTGTGGGGACGCAGAGCACTGCTCCTAGGACAGGGCCGCTTTCTCATCACGACTGTCTCTGAGCACACTTCAGAGAGGCACCGTGGCGGGGGAGGGGTCCTGGGGCGTGTCAGGGGCAGGCCCATGTGGGGGGGCCCATGAGGGGAGGCCAGGGAGAGGGAGGGTCTACCTCCCTGCAGCTCAGCTCCCACCCCGTCCTCCACTGCTACTTGATGGGGCAAGAGCAGGGAGGAGGAGGGCAGGAAACCACAGGGGCTGCCACAGGTCTCACTTCCTGCCTCACACCAGAAAAGGGGAAGGTCTCACAGCTTCCTCCCAAGTTGGGGTGGGGGCTGGGCAAGATAGCGGCCAGCTCAGTTTGGGTGGGTGCATTTCTCCCTCCATGCTCCCCTGCCACATGCGTGGCACTCACTCAGCATTCAGTCACGGGATGAGGGCAGAGGTTATGGCCAATGGTGGGGAAGAAGACAAAGTCACGACCCCAGAAGGATCAGGTGGGGAAACACCCACAGGGCAGGGGTGGGGGGACTAAGAAGAAATTCTGTGCTTCCTCCTTGAGGCTCAGAGAGCCTAAGTAACTGCCTTAAGGTCACACAGCTTACCTGTGATGGATTTAGGAATCAAGCCCAGGTGATCTTAACCTAGACCTCATCTAGGAAACAGTTTCTGATGGCATCCCTAGGATTCTAGAATTCAAGGACATCTAAGCTCATCAACGATAAAGGCCTCTGAGCCTGAAGACTGCTGGCCAAGGTCACGGACTGAGTGACCTTGTAGTAGAACAAGGAAGGACTGGGTTCCACTATCCCTACAAGGCAGGTGCCAGGAGGCAAGAGGCAATGGCCCTGCCACAGACTTTGAAAAAGTGTCACCTGCCGGGAGCCAGGGCCCACCCCTCCAACCCCCGCAGCCGGGTACCTTGGCTCCCAGGCGCAGCTGGTCGATGGTGTTCTCAGCCTCAGCGTACTTGGTGAGGAGCTTGTGGTAGTCCTCCTGCAGGAAAGAGACAGCACAGTGGTCACCTGCCCAGGCTCCTCGCTGCGAGGCCCCTCACAGGGAATCTCCCCCGCGGAAGGGACTCCTGAGTCCCTCAAAGTGAAAAACCTCCAGAGTTGGGACCTGAGAGACCCTTTCAGGCTCATGTGTAATGCGGACCCCCGTGGCCAAATTCTGGAGTGTCCGAGGCAGCGGGACAACTCACCCACCAGCCCTTCCACCGTCCCCAGCAACGGGTCGGGGGCAGGGCCTCGGGGCTGCTCTACCGCCACACGCAACCCCATCGCAGAGGACCGCAACTCCTCCCGTCCAGATTCCCTGCCCATCTGTGGGCTCCGTGCGTGAGGCCCACGTCTGTCTTCCCCACTGCCCCGTCTGCTGCTTGAATAGTATGTGCTTCATGAGCACACTTTGACAGATGAATGAATGAGTGGTCACGGGCCCCCTTGGTAGAAAAATAGAAGACTTGAAAACGACAGTTGCATCTACTCGGAGTCACTACTTACCTTAAACAACACTGAAGAGCTTCATTAAAATGAGGGAGAAAAGCAACAACAAACGTCACCAGTTACCTCTGAAGGGTGCGAGGGAAGTGACGCATCGTTCTGAAAACCAGTAACTAGGACAGAATCCAGCATTTCTCCTGTCTTCCCCATGTGAACTAGATGACTTGGTGACCAAATAGTGGATGAGGGGAACGTTTTACTCTGCAGAAAATCCCCATCAGATGAACGCAGAAGGAATGACAGCATGAGGATGCTACCATTTGTCGCCCCAAATGCAGGACTGGGCCAAGGAAGTGGCCACCGGCAGCTGCTCACACCACAGTTGAGGTCAGCAGGCGTCCTCTGCCTCCTGAGGGGGCCACCCAGGATGTGCTGTTACCCCAAACTCCCTAACCCCCTGCCTATGTGGTGCTCGTGGTCTGGAGGGGAGACACACAGGTGATGACGACCGGAAGAGCCCTCCAGCTCTAAACTGACCACGTGCAGGACAGAGGGGCACAGGAAGAGACACTGTGAGCGTGTGCAGGACAGAACTGGCTCCTTAACAAATGCGTTACAAGGAAGAAAAAAATTTGAAAAGGAAGAAAGAAAAGAAGGAGAGAAAAAGAAAAAAAAAAGAAAAAAAGGGAGGGGCTCGAAAGACCCAGTGGCCAAATGCCATGTGTGAGCTGTGTTTGGATCCAATTCGAACCCACTAAGACAAACAAGCCAGTTACGGGACACACAGGGAGATCTGAACGCTGGCTGGATATTGGATAATATTAAGGAATTGGTGCCAACTTTAGGCAGGATAACGGTTGTGCGGTTATGTTTAAGGCAGAATTCTTATCTTTCAATGTGCATAGTAAAACATTTTTGAATCAAACGATCTGATGCTGGAAATGTACTTCGAAATACCCCAGCAGGGTGGGCGGGGCAAGGGGTGAGCCATGGATGGAAGCTGGGTGATGGAGATGGGGGGCTCATTATATACTTTTTTCTCTTGCGTATGTTTCAAATTTTTTCATAGCAGAAGCTCAAAACAAACCAACATGGACTATCCTGGCAGCATGGGTGTGCTCACCTCTCTCTGAGCAAAGGGCTTGGGGCTATCTTCATGGCTGGGGGTATAACCTCTTCACCAGCAGGGGGCTCCTGGCCTGGCCCAAGGCCCCCCCATCCTTACCAGCCTCCAGCCCTCCCAGGCCAGCGTGTGCCTTGGGGACACGCCCATAGAAATGAGTCTGGCTTACCTGGAGCTGATGGACCAGCTTGGTGGCTTGTTCGGGCGTCTGAAATTCTTGGGGCACCCCCATGAATGGGGGGGTAGGAGGTGGGCCCTTTCCCGAGCAGGCTTCTTCACTGCTCAGCAGCACCTCCCGCACAATCTCGGCGGGCGACTTGAAGATCAGGGGTCTGCCAGGGTCCCGAGGCTGCTTGCTGCGGCTCCTGGCCTTGGGCGGGTGGTAACTCTCATCTTTGGGGAATCTTACCCGGGGTGCCACCTTGGAGAAGTCAGGGAGCGGGTAGTTCAGCCGCCCCCGGCCGTACTTGGGGGCATCCGAAGATGAGTGGCCAGCCACAGTGGCTCCCTCCCTGGGTGGTGGCCTGTCCTGCCGGGCAGGCCCAGGCCGAGGATTCGGGGGGCTGACGGAGCCGGTGAATCGGGAAGGGAGCGCCTTAGGTGATGTCCGTGTCCGCTTCCAGGCTTGGTCCCCCGGCCGAGGGCAGGAGAGGCTGGGAGTCTCTCTCCTCCATCTGTCTTCAGGACACTGGAGGCTGTGGGCTCGGGGTGCTGAGGAGTCCTGGAATTCCGAGGGGGTTGCCAGAGCAACGCTCCCTCCAGTTCTGCCGTCTGAATTGAGGAGGCGGTGACGGGGGCTCTGTGGCAGAGCTTCGGCCAGGGCAGTGGGCTGGGGGCCGTCGGTCTCTCCTTCCCAGGTAGAACCAAGGCTGTCACTGGGGTGGCCGAGGCTCACAGTCCCACTGCTCCAGGACCTGGCAGAGCTGAGGTCAACAGTTGGGTTGACCTCAGAATGTTCTGGAAGTCTGTCTCCACTGGCTTTTTTGCCAGACGCCACCCAGCCTGTGGCCCGATCCCACCCCAGAGCCGTGGGGCTGGTGTTTCCATTGTTCCCGGAGCAGAGACCAGCCTCGGACCCCAACCCTGGGGGGCTCCCTCCAGCCTCTTCAGCCTCAGGCTCTCCGAGGGCCGCATCGGGCTCCTCTCCGGTCATGTCCAGTGCAGGATCCTGCTGGGGGAGCCAGCTGAGAGGCAAGTTGGAACTTTCTGGGCTGTCCACATGCTCTGCTTCAAACTCTGGAAAGAGAGTCAGTCACTTAGCATGTGTTGGGTCTGGACTGACTGTGGAATGTTGCCTAAGTCATTGTTCCGCTCTGGGCGCTCGTCTCCTCATCTCATCACCGTAAGATTCCCAGTAAGGCCCAGCCCACATGGCCACGTGCTTCCCTAACCTCCTCTGGTTGTCTCCATGGTCCTCCACACTCAGCCCCCAAAGCTGGTTATCCCCCCTCCCTGTGTTTCCCATCCCAGCAAATGGCAATACCATCCCACCCAGTTGCACAAGCCAGAAACCTGGGAGGCATCCTTGCCCCGTCACTGCCAGAATACTGCCTGTCACCAAGACCTCCTACAGCTATCAAACTCACCTACTGCTCTGCAGTCCAGCACCACCACCTTTGCCCAAGATGACATCCTCTGTCACCTGGGAGCACCGCTGTAGCCACCTAATCATCTCCTCAATCCTCGTCCTCACCCACCATCTGAACCCTCATCAATATCTTCCTGCTGTTCCCAGCATAGAGCTGAGCCTTTAATATAGTCCTGAGGTCCCTGCCTCCGGCCCCCATTAGCTCTCCTGGTCCATCTCTCTCCAGGGTCCCCCTTGGTCTCTCCCGGCTCCAGTCACACCCCATGCTCTCCCGCCCCAGGGCCTCTGTGCATGCCGGTCCCTCTGCCAGGGTCCTTTTTACCTCCCTTGGCCTAGCTGCCTATTTGTTCTTCAGACATTAGCTCAGCCTTGACAAGAAGTTTTCTCACATCTCCCACACTAGGACGAATTCTCCCTCAATACGTTTTCAGAAGACTGAATACCTTTACTTTGAAATACTTATCACAGCGACAGTTTTCCACTTGCTTATGTGATTGTGTCATTAATATCCCCGCCCCCCACTAGACTTCGAGTTCCATGAACATAAGGATACTCTCTGTTTTCATTTACTATCGTGTCTGCAGAGTAGGTGCTCAATACCTGAGCACCTACTGAGTGGAAAGAAGAAAAGAAAGGGAGGGAAGGAGGGCAATAACATAGGCAAAGCTCCCAGAAAATGGGTAGTCATTGTAATTATTACACAGTAGGTGCTCAAGAACTATTCATCCATCCATCCACCCAGCCACTCACCCATTCATTACCCTCCCATTCATTCATCTATTCGCCTACCCATCATCCATGGAGTCGATGTGTATTGAGCACCTACTCTGTCCTAGGTCCGATGTAAGTCTTTGGGACAGACCCAGAATGTCATGAGACACAGCCTGCACACTGCCAAGCGCAGACTCTCTGCTCTGGCCAGATGTGCCTTTATCATTAACTCGTGTATCACCCTCTGCTCCTCCCCTCCGCTCTCTCTCCTACCCTTGAAATCTATATCCTCCAGCTCCTTAAAATCTCCTTCAGCAAGTGTCTCTTGTTTACAGCGGCATGCGCGAAGTCCAGGGAGGTTAGGCATCTTGGCCAAAGACCACATAGCGGTTCCCAGCAAGCCCGGACCTGACACCCAGGTCCCAGCCATGTAGGCCAGTCAGTGTCTGCCCCTGGGGTTCATGCAGTGAGATGAAGGGAGGAGGCTTTGGAGCCGGGGAGCCCTGGGTTCGATCCTGGTCCCTCTGATCCTTCACTGGGGGCCATGGACAAGTAGCCGACCTCTGTGGCAGTCTTTACTGAGACCAGAGGCTAGTCCCTCCTACCTGGCAGAGGGTATTGAGGAGGGAAGGAGACAGGTCCAGCCAGCCCTGCCCCGGGCACATAGTAAGGGTACAGGACATGGCAGCAGCTGTTACATCATAGCAGGGGGTTACCATGTGACCTCAGGAAGAGATGCCTCTGCCCTTTTCTCCCAGTGCGCCCCAGTCACCGTTCCCTGAGGGGGAGCTCACAGCAGCTCCTCATAGCTCTGGGCAGATCCAGCATGAGGGCTTTGAGTCACGGCACAAAAAATCTGCAGAACCCTAAGACGGAGTGTTTCCTTCCTACTCTGAGTGCACCAGGCACCATGCATCAAGCTCTTACTATCCCCAGAGGCATCCTGACTCCCAACTCACAGATGGGGAGACCAAGACTCAGAGAGAAGAAGGAGGTTGCCACGCCAAAGTAGCAAGTTGGTCTAAGTGCAAAGGGAGCAGTTATTTTAGAAAAAAAAATGCCAACATTCCCATTGCTAGGTGGGGTTTTGCAAAGTCTTAACAATGGCTTAACCCCTGGACCAGGCAATATCCACGACCAAGGTTATCATCAAATCAAGTGTGCAAAGATGTGCTATCAACTTCCACCTCTGCATTGTTTGTAGTAGCAAAAACTAGAAACTACCTAAATGCACAGCAGGGAAAGAATGGCCCAGCAAATGTCAGAATATCCACACCATGCAATTCCTAGTCGGGCATTAGGACTTGTGGAAGAATATCTCATGAGCTGGAATATCGCTCCTGTCTGTAAGTTACAAAAAAGCAGCTCACAATATAGTTTGTAAAACACTGCTCCACAGTCATATTGCTGTGGTATATACATGTACGGAAGAGTTATCTGGATGTGTCCTTTTTCATTTTTCCTGTTTGCTTAGATTGCACTGATATTTCTGCAATGAACACTAATATTTAAGTAATTTAAACCTTTAAAATTTTTAAATTATAGACTTCATAGAATTTAATTTAAAGATTTTCTAAAATTCCCTCCCACTCCCGGCCTCCGGCCAGAAGGTAGGGTGTTTGGGGGACTGCAGGGTGAGGTTGGGAGAGGAAGTCTCACCTTCTTCTGCGGACCCTCCCGAGTCGGAAGCTGGGTGCCCATCAGGCTGTGGCTCCAAGTGCCACTCCAGTGGCTGCAGGTGCTGCTGGGCCAGACGGAAGTCCTCGAGGAGCTCGGGGCTGGTGGCGGTGGGGAAGGGCCCTTCTTCTGCCCAGCCGTGTGGCACGCTCCCAACAGCATCCTTTTCCTCCTCCGTCCAGGCCCAGCGCCACCGCCGGGGCCCCTTCCCCAGGCCGGGCTCGGCCCAGCGGACTTCAGTCCCTGAGCTGGCCATGGGGCCTGGCCTGAGCTTCACCTGGGCCACCCCATCTTCCGAAGATGGACCTGCCACTACAGGCATCAGTCACCGCCGGCTCCTCTCAGCAGCAGCCGCCATCCTGCCGGAGGCCTGCTGGGGACACAATCGGGGGATGGCATTAGTCCTCAAGTCCCCCCCTTTCTTCTGAACAGGAAGTCACCAGCAGGCACTTTGGAAGCAGACAGCCTTGGTTCAGCTCCATCCCCCTGGCTCCATCCCCCTGAAGCTGTGTGGCCGTGGACAAACTGGGATAATAATTCCTCTCTTCCTCAAGAGTTGTGTAAAATGACCTGAGATACAGGATAAGGGGCCCAGCGGCCAGCACCCTGGAGGGTGTGGGATGCGTACTAGCTATTGTTACCCGGTGCCAGGCTCGGGGCATGGGCGCAGGGCACAGGCCAGAGCCTAGGGGTGGGAGGAGGGCAGGGGTTCAGTGCAGGCCTGGGAAGTCAGGGAAGGCCCCATGTAGAAGCTGCTGCTCCTGGAAACCTTTCCTGTCCACCCACCCCACCACTGCCCCCACCGTAAGAATTCGAATTGGGAGTAGGGGGATGGTGCAAAGAGCATTCCAGGACCCAAAATAATTGAAAGCAGGTACTCAGACAAACACAGGCACACATGCGTTCATGGCGGCTCTGCCCACAACGCAGCCCAAACGTCGTCAGCGAGGATTAAAAACAATTTGTGGCATAAACACATAATGCTATACTAATCGGCCATAAAGAGGAATGAAGCGCTGACATATACCGCAACACGGAGGGACCTGGGAACAGCCTGCTGTGTGAGAGAAGCCAGGCGCAGAAGGTCACACGCAGTGTGAGTGTCCCGACGTGAAACATCCAGAATCGGTACATGCACGAGAGAGGAAGCAGCCTGGTGGTTATCGGCGGCTGGGGGGCAGGCACCTGGGCAGTGACTACTTAAGGGGCCCAGGTTTTGGGGGCGCTGAGGAAAACGTTTTGGAACCAGAGAGAGGTGGTGGCTGCACAACATTGGGAATATACCACAAGCCACCGAACTGTTCACTTTAAAATGGTTAATGTTTTGTTATGTATCACCTCAATTTTTAAGAAAGCATTCCAGGCAGGGGGCCGGCGATTCCAAAGGCCTAGAGGTGGGAGGGTGACTGGTAGTGGCTTCCTGAAGGCTGTGGCGTTGGGGGTTGGGCGATGGGACAGCAGACAGTGTGGGCAAGGAGAGGTGGTGGCCAGAGCTGGGAGGGCCTCTAGGGTCCTGCTCCGGCCTTGGAAGAGCATCCCAGACCCAGGAGAGCACAGGGAGGTGTGGCTTAGACACTCCCCTCTGGCTGCTCCAGGAGAATGAAGCAGAAGCGTGGTGGCTGTGGAGGGATAGGGGTTCAGTGTGCCTCGCTCCTCCCCACCTGCCTTCTTTCCTTCTTTGTCCTTCTTTCCCTCTTCCTCCTCTCCTTCTCGACTCCTTTCCCTGCCCTCCTGGTAAGGCCAACACTCCCCAGGAGCCACCTCTGTGCCAAGCACCACACAGAGTCCTGGAAAGAGAGCCGAGCCCTGGCCAGGTAGCTCAGTTGGTCAGAGCATCATCCCGATACGATACACCAAGAATGCAGGTTTGATTCCCAGTCCGGGCACACACAAGAATCAACCAATGAATGCGTAAGTAAGTGGGACAACAAGTAAAAGTTTGAAAAAAGAAAAAAGAAAGAAACACAGGGTTGATGGCAGCAGGCACGGCCTCACCCAAGGGGCTTGGCAAGGCCTCCAGACCTCGCTCTGCAGGCAGGCAGACTGAGGCCCAGCCGCACATCAGCCAGGACAAGGCTGGGGTGAAAGGTCACCGTGCAGGGGAAACAATTGAGTACGAATAACGCCAGGCCTCCGGGGACAAATAGGTCTGTGTTTGTTTCTGCAGCCATGCAAGTTGGTCTTGGTCAGAGTCGGCTTGGTACAGCTGAGAAAAGTCAGCAGGCAACTATTTCTGGAGAGAAAGCTCCCCAGGGAACGTGTAGCCTGAGAAAGGCTGCAGCCTTCTCCAGTGCTGGGTTCAGGACAGGGGCTCCAGGGCCTCGCTGTCTCCCGGCCTCGATCTCCCCCGCCCCCGAGAATGTCCTCCAGAGGGTCCCACCATGTATGCTCTACCTTCTCTTGCCAGCCTGGGCCAGAAGCTTTACCTGTGTGTTCTCAAACAGTGAGTGGGTCACAGAAAATGGTTTTTCAGATGAGAAAACTGAAGCTCAACATGGAAGAGCAACTGGGCCAAGATCACCCAGCTGCTTAGGGACAGAACAAGATTTGGAGGAGTTCTGGCCCAGTGGTCTCCCCCCAGAGTTTTTTAAAATCACACAGCGCATTGGTAAAGACAGGTATTTACTTGCATCCCCACTCTACGGGGTGAGGCAAAAGTAGGTTTACAGTTGTGAGTACACAAAACAGTTTATTCTTGTGTTACTTATTTTCCAGATGAACAACTGTAAGCCTACTTTTGCCCCACTCCGTATATTTCTTACACACATGTATTAGACATATGTATTCTCATGCCAACACACTACATGTATTAGAAAAAATATTTCAAAAATAAATTTTAAAAAAGGTGCGGTAGAAAATAAATATTTTAAAGAGACATTCTAATCCTTTGTCTTATACCCTCAAGGGGTCCTGTACCCCTCTTGGAAATTCTTGCCAGTGGGCCTTAAACTTGAGTGCTCTTAAGAATCCTTTAAGAATGGCCCTGGCTGGTGTGGCTCAGTGGATTGATTGCCAGCCTGCGATCCGAAGGGCCGCTGGTTCGATTCCCAGTCGGGGCACATGCCTGGGTTACAGGCCAGGTTCCCAGTGTGGGGTGCAGGAGAGGTAACCACACATTGATGTTTCTCTCCCTCTTTCTCCTTCCCTTCCCCCTCTCTAAAAATAAATAAATAACATCTTTAAAAAGAATCCTCTAAGAATCGAAGACTCATAGGTCGACCCAAAGAGAGCCAAACTTGGTGGCCCAGGGGGCGGGGCCCAGGAGTCTGCATTTGAACCAGCACCCCTGAGCAAGGCCAGCCCTCTAGGCTGACTAGACCTTCCCACTGCTGCTGCTACGGCAGGTGTAACGGGTGCTGAGCGCCGTTGCTCTTCTATTTCTGAAACCTCTGCCCAAGGAAGGGGCTGAGGAGGCCTGTGGTTTTTTGACTTTTTAAAGGGCTTTTTCTAGCCACGCCACCGAGCAGCCTGCCCAATCAGAGAGGCCTCTGGGGCGCGAAGAGGAACATCCTGTCTCTCGGGATGACTCAGTCCGCTCAGAAATCTCGCTGGGCCCAGGGCAGGCCGCACGTCACAGGCAGCTGCAGTCACTGGCCGAGCTCTGCACAGGCGCCCCAGGCCCCGAAACCTGCGAGCCTCTCCCGCGCTGGGACTCCGTGTCCCACGTGAGCCCCAGCCCTCGGCGCCACGGAGCTCAGGACAGGCCAGTCAGCTGGTCGGTCAGGCAGCCACACACACGAGCGCCGACCGCAGGCCAGCCTCAGGCTGGACGAAGACACAGGCTCACGGGCTGCTGTGAGAGAAAAGCAGGCTGGACACCGGAGACCAGGTTCTGGGCTGGGGGCTGCGGCTGCACAGTGACCCACCGGGCTGGTGTGCCTCGCCGCACAGTGGACAAGAAAGACACCGCCTGCTCCTGCCACAGCCACGTGGGGTCTCCCCATGAGGGCGGGCTGGGAGGTGGCTAAATGAACTTTGGGGTTCCTGGTTATCATTGGCTTTGGAGGGCAACAGCCTAAGGACGGCAAAGCCCCCTTCTGGGACCCCATTTCATAGTAACAAAGATAAAGATAGAGCAAATTAACTTTTATAAGTTAACTTAAAAAAATTATGACTTCCTACTGTGTGCCAAGCACTACTAGACACAGAAATGAGTACAGAAATAAGTAAAAGCGTTCCAAATGAAGGCGAAGGGTGGGGGACCAGGGGCCAATACAGAAGAGTAATTGAAGAAGTATTAAGCTGACAAAGAGGATTTGGGGGAAGAAGATGCGGGAAGGACATCCCAGGCAAAGGGAACAGCATAGGCAAAGGCACAGAGGTCTGAAAGTACAAACAGAACTTGATGGAAGGCTATGGGCAGAGGTCCTTGAATGGCAGCCAAAGGCAGGCTTGCTCTGGTCAGCCTCCATGAGCTGGGGCCGGAATCCAGGAAAGTCCCATCAGCACGAAGTCCCTTCGAGGGCTAAGCTGCTGGGTGCCGGTCCCTGCCAGCCCTGGAGAAACTAACCCCACAAGGAAACACCAATCTCTACCCTCTCCTTCTGTACATCTCCCCCCTCCCCCACCCCCACAGCATCCCTGCCCCTGGTTCTCTGAAGGGTGTATGAGGCCCTTGTGGTTTCTCTCTCCAGTGCCCGAGTGGGTGAGCCACCCCCACTCAGAGGCTTCTCTGCCCTCTCAGCCGCTCCCAACCTGAGGACACTTCCCTTTATGTCTCCATCTCCCTGGTTCTCCTCTGCCACCTGCAGCCACGCAGCCGGCCTCCACCTCCCCATGCCTTCTGAAGCCCCTTCCCATACAGCCAGGGCTGGCCCGGATGCTGCCCCCTGCCCCCACCCTGACTCTGACATCTCCCAGATGCAAAATGGAGCAAAAGAGAGGAGGCAGGCCCTCACGAGACCTCGCAGCCAGGAAGTGCGGCCCGAGGATTCAAACCCAGGGCCCGAGGCTCTGAAACCAAGTCCATCACATGTGCAAGGTAGCAGGGCAGGAGGAAGGGGAAAGAAGGCCCCCTATATCAAGTGGCTGGGCTCCTCCAAAAAGGCTGGGCTGTTAGGGTAGGAGACCCAAACTTGGCCTCCCTCTCTGACCAGCCGGCAGGGCACAGGCCTGCTGTCCTCAAGGGGTTCTGGCCAGCTGTGTAGAAACGACACCCATGGGGAAGCACCAGGCACCCTCCACTCCAGATGTACCCCCTCCAGCCCCTGGCTCTCCCCAGCAGCAGCAGAGGCCCTGGAGAAAGAGGGAAGGTGCGCTGGCTGATGCGAACTCCGGTCCCCCCAGTCTGAAGAGCTGGGCTGGGTCTGTTGGACCATCCTTGACTCCTCTCCATGCCCTTACGTGGCAGAAGGGGCCACTCTTTCAAGGGGACCCTCTGTTGCCTCCTGGCCTGCTCCTCATTCGTACATGACGTCTGAGGTCCCTTCGCAGACCATGGGACTGACTTTCCATGTGCAGATGAGGACACTCCAAACACAGAGAGGGACCAGAGCTCGTCCAAGTTCACAGAGATCAGAGTCAGAGCTCGGACTGGAATCCAGCATCTCAAGGCTTGAGGAAATCCCCCTAAAGTCCACCCTTTCCCGGGTGTGGGGGCCGGGCTCCCCTCAGCCGGGAGAGAAGTGACACAGCTGTCGCAGCAGCTGCAACTTCCTGGCTGGGCTGGGCTGGTCCAGCCTCCCTGGACTGTCCCAGAGAGTCTGTGACTGGCCCGTCCAGAGGGAAGGCGGCTTCCCTGCCCTCCTCCAGTCCCTTACCTCTCTCGGGTTTCACCAGCCCGCTGGCCCCGGCTCAGAGGACCTGCATGTGAGGTCTTTGTTCCAAACCTGGGGAGCCCCCTGCCTCCATGGCGCCCTGGCCCGCCTCCAGGCCGCTCTGCCAGCCCGAGCTGCTGCTCACAGACAAGCATTGCTCCCCACCTCTCCCCGCCCCTGCTGCGGCTGAGGCCGCCTCGCCTAGGCAGGAAGCGCCCAGCCTGATTTCCTACAAGTGTTTGTCAGAAGGAGGGGGGTTTGTCTGAGTGCAGCACGAGAGTGAGCAGGAGAAGCTTAACCCCTTGCAGGCCCTCTGCGGGTGTGTTCTGTCCAGGAAAGGACTCACGGAAACTCCCCATGTCAAGGCTTGGGACCATCACAGCCAAAATACAGATTGAGGAGACTAAAGCCCAGAGAAGGTCAGAGACTTGGCCAAGGTCACTCAGCATGCAGATCCTGGAAGGAGGCCTCTAGCAGCTTCAACCACCTAGGAGCTTTTTCCATAGCGCCAAGGCTCCCTCTCTCACTAGGCCTCAGTGCCCATCTATACAAGGGAAGCACAGGCTGGATGTTTGCTAGGCACCCTTCCAGCTCTGATTCTCCATCCTGTCTGCCTATAGGCAGCACAACATCCCAGTGAGGCTGCAATGATTCCTGCCATCTCACCCACTGTCCTTGCCCTGAGCAGGGCCTATAGATATAGCAGGATTTTCTAGGCAGCTCAGAGATAGGGAACTAGCCGATCAGGTGAATTTCCCCTCTTGCTCCCAGGGCTCAGCAGAGAGCAAACTGCTTTACCCCAAGCCCCCTCCTTCCATTCATTCATTCATTTGACAGGTACTTACTGAGCATATTGTGTGCTGGGTGTTTTTCAAGGTGCTGGAAATAAGGCAGAGTACAAGACAGGCCAAGCCCTTGCTCCCCTCTAGTAGAGACACAGATCACACACACACACACACACACACATACACACACTCACACACACGGGGGTGGGGGGGAGAGGTGTGAACAAGAGGGAGAGGATAGGATGGAGCCGTGATCCGAGTCCCAGGCTGCTTTTGGTAATGCTGATGCCTAGGATGGGCCCAGACCAATAGAATCAGTTTCTGGGCATCAGAGACTTTAACGTGTCTCAGGTGACCGGGATGCATGCCTGGTAGAGAATTCATGGGTCAGAGAGTAACAGGCTGGGGACAAGGGTATGGAGGTGGCCAGGAAGGTCTCTGTGAGAAGGTGACATTCGATCAAGGGACTGAAAGGAAGCGAGGGGGCGGAAGTAAGCCACGAGAAGGGCCGGCAGCAGAGTATTCTGGAAGGGCAAGTGCAGTGGGTAAGGTGAGAACCAACTGGACTTTCCCCAGAAAGAGCAAGGCTAAGGGTGAGAGAGGTGGAAGCCAGGGTGGGGTGCTGGCTCAGCACCCAGTTGCCATGCATATGTGGCTCTGGCTCTGGCCCTGCTCAAGAAATAAAAAGAAAAAAAACTTGGTCTCGGTTTTGTCCAAAAAACCCTCCAGGTAATTCTGAGGAACCACCAGTGTGGTCTGGGAACCACCAGTGTGGAGAGAGAAATGAATCTTAGAGTTAATGCAGACCCGGGTTCAAATCTCTTGCTAGCTCTGTGACCTCTGAGTCTTCATCTCTCTAAGCCTCGATTTCTTACCTGTAAACAAGGATAAGAGGAGTAGCCACCCTACAGGGCAGCTGCCAAGATCCAATGAGGTAATACCTGCAAAGCACAGAGCCAGGAGCCTGAAATGTAAGTGAGTGAATGAATGAATGAGCTTTCCCTAGGTCAGCCTGTGCCTATCTGGCAAAGCCGGGCCAGAACCAGGTGTCCTCATCCTGGTTACCACCCTACCCCTGCCCCCTCCCCCCCGGCCTTTTATCCACATCTGGGTGGTGGAGCTCAAACCACAGCTCCTAGCCTAACATGGAGCACAGCCAACCCTCATGAGAACCCCTCCCTGCCAGCTCTGGTGACCATGTGGGCCATTGTGCGAAGGGCGGGCTCCCCTGACACCCTGTCACTCACTCACTCTCCCTCCCTGGTCATTAACCCCAGCAGCACTGCTATCAATGCCAGGTGGCTGCCACCCCGGCACGCCCGTAGCCTGGCCGCTGCTCCAGCCTCTTCTCCCTCTATCCTTCCCTCCTCCCTCGGTGGCTCCTGCCACATGGGGCTCCTTGCAATTCCTCAGACAAATAAGCTATGCTTCCAGTCCTCACCTAGCCCCACTTCTTCTCCCTGTTAACGTTCAGGCAACCTGTAGATCCCAGCCCCATGTGCCCTCCTAGGGGTTAGAAGTTAAGTCTGGTCCTGACTGGCATGGCTCAGTGGGTTGGGCATCATCCTACGAACCAAAACGTCATTGGTTCAATTCCCTGTCAAGGCACATGCCTGGATTTTGGGCCAGGTCCCTGGTAGGGGGCGTGTGAGAGGCAACCGATCAACGTTTCTCTCGCACATCGATGTTTCTCTCCCTCTCTTTCTTCCTCCCTTCTCCTCTGTCTAAAAACAAAGTAAAATCTCTTCTAAAAAGGGAAGTTAAGTGCATCTCCAACAATGGGGAGGTCTGTGAAGTGCTCACCATTACATCCCCATGCCCAGCTGCAGAAGCGCAGTGACGTATGATGGCTGAGCTACCGACTCCAGCCAGGGGCCCAACCCTAGCTTGTAACTCTCAAAACAACCCACTGAGGCAGGTGGGACATCCTCATTGTATAGGCAGGTAAACTGGAGAATTCAAGCCACTTGTCCGGGGTCACAAAGCTGGTGAGTGCCGGTAAAGATTCAAACACACAAAGACCCAACTCTCAATGACTACGCTTGGCGCTCACACTGTTGCAGCCTCTGGAGATAATGAATACCCCGGGCATGATACAGTCAGGACTGGAGCTCATTGCCACCCAAATGCAATTCACCGAGCCCATGTTCTGACTTTAGAATGAGGCTCTGGTGGTGCTGCAGAGCCTTTGTGTTTTCTAATGTGCTTTCTCATCCTTCACAACATGAGACACTGGGGAACAGCTTCGGGGAATGGGCAAGACAGGAGTATGATTCCATTGTACTTGTACAGGTGAAGAAACTGGGGCCCAGAGATGGGGAAGAGAGTAGGTGTTGGTCAATCAACAACAAAAAAAAATAAAACCCTCTGGCCCCCACTGATAGCGCTTGGGTACGTTCACCAGAAGCATGCCCGCCCTCGGCTGCGTCTGCACACGCCTGTCAGTCCTCACCTCTGGAGCCCAGCAAGCCTTCGGCCATTTGTTCCCTCCAGCCCCTGGGTCGAGATGCTCTAACTCGGCCATTTCTTACCCACTCCCCCAGAGTTCTCCCACTTTGCCATCTCCTCCCTCCTCAATCATTCTTGAGCCCCACCTAAGTGCCTGGCACATTAGCCAGACTGGAAGGGGAGTACAAGCCTTCTGGAGCAGCCCAGGACACAGCCCAGGACCAAGATGGGCGTTACCTGCTGTTGTGATGAGCCCTGCCTGCACAGAGACTGTGAGACTGTGACACTCTGTCACACAGTGTCCTAGGGCCCAGGAGGTACAGTGGGGTCTCAGCCATCCTGGGGAAAACCAGGGGCAGGCAACTTCAGGAGCCCTGGGAGTGGAAGGTTGTGTTATTTCATTCTGGACCACTCCTTGGGCCCCCAACTTCTCCCATTTTCCTGAGAAAGAAATGAACACCTACCCTAAGGTCACCCACTCCTTCCTGCCCAGGCTGCTGAGTTTACCCCTGTAGTGAAAATCCATAGGGGATCTGGGGTTGAAAGGAGGCAGGTGAGGATTTCCGGAGTGGACCAAGGAGGAAGCCTGGCTTGGGAAGTAGAGACCCAGGTTCAAGCCTGGATGACACTGGACAAGTGCCTTCCCTTCCATCTGGGCTTAGTGAGATTATCAAAAATGACCGCCCAGCACTAAATCTCCTGTGCTCCTTGATTACACTTGCCCACAGAGGCAGAAATGCCGTGCATACGGGAGGCTGCAGGGCACAAGGGTTGGGGCACATGGACTTTTGGGGTAGTCAGAGACCTCCAGGGTCTCTCTTGACAGCTGTGTGGCCTTGGGCAAATTGCTTAACCTCTCGGAGCCCCAGATTCCTTGTCTATAAAATGGGGATGATACTGACTTTATACCATCCTTGGGATGGTAAACGAGACCGTGTGCCTAGGGTCCTGGCCCAGGGCCTAGCTGGCACAGAGCCTGCACATAAATGACTTTGGCCGTCTTCGTGAAACGCCCAGATGGCTGGCTCCCTGCAGGGCTGGGCTTAATTCTCCGGGCTCTGGAGCTTCCCCCACGTCAGCCACAACTCTAGTTCTGGGTCTGATACACAAAGAGGGAAAGCCAGCCCTCCCAAATGGAGAGAAATGCTGCTACCCCCGTGTGACCCTCTCCCTGTGGTCCCAAACCAGTTCTAAGAGTCACTGACCCAGCCAGAAACTGTGTCCCCAGCCTGACTACTTAAGGAAGAAGGGCCTTTCTCAGCCGGCTGAAACACGGGCTATGAGGACCGTATGGCATATGGAGGAAAAGACACACATACACACTCCCAAATTCATGTTCTGCGAAGAGTCAAACAAAAAAAGTGTGCATGTGCCAGAAATGCACTGCTAACAGCAAAACTTCATTGTGCACCTATTACTCAAAGCCTTTTCCATGGATTAGGGCCTCATTGTCTAACCCTCATACCAACCCAAGGAGGTAGGAACCACGATGCCCATGTCGCAGGATGGGGCTTGGGTTTGAACCGAGCTGTCTGAATTCAGACTGTGAATCGTCGTAATCACTTTGCAACTGAGCCTTGCAGGGGATGAAAAGGTTGGAAACAACTGTAGCATCTAAAAATGCGGGATGAGTAAATTAAATTATAATATTTCCACTCGAAGAAATATTATTCAGTTATGGTAGTCATAGTATAGAAAATGAAATGGCGTAAAAAAAGTGATATGTTAAGTGAAGAGGCCAGTTATAATATAATATGTCTAGTTTGAGTCCATTAAAGAAGAAAGCAATAAAATGTGAAAGAAAGGAAGGGAAGGAGGAAAGGAAAGAGGAAGGGAAGGTGGGGAAAAGGGAAAAAAGAGAGAGGTGTCCCAAGATGTTTTTAATAATTATTACTAGGTAGTAGAACCGAGACAAGTTT